CAATCGTGATAAGAAGATTCCTCTACCATATTGGCACGATGGGCGTTGAATATCCCCTCCAAGACACTCTTCTGTTTCACATCATGTTCATCATTGTATGGGAAAGTTGCCCCCATGCCTGGAGCCTAGCAATTCTACTTACATACATTTTCGGGCTACGCCATTGGCACCAATAGTCGTTACAAGCGTGTTGATTATCATAATCATCATCAATATCGCCACCACCATCATTCATTATCCGTCATCATTATCATCATCTTCATCTCCATCACCATCGTCATTACCAACAACGGCCCACAACATTACCACCACGATTACCACTTTATCATCACAAGTAATAACTTTTAATTTACAATAAATAGTTCATCTACCCTATCATGGACAACATTCCCTGCAAACCATTGCTCATCACCGGGAAGGCTGCCCTTGACTATGACGTCGCGATCTGCTGATTGGATGCGACGTATGTTTAATTTGTTTTACATGACGAACTCTAGCTTAGGAACCATGATGGCTCCACATGCCGACTGATTTTGACAAGTCTTGATCGTTTGCTCTTTTGGTTTAACCATTAGCACGTGGCACGTGTGGGGCTAGTCATCCATTTCCACTCTCATCATCATGATCATCATTAAGAGCTTAGAGCTAAAATGGCGTTAATAGTTCACTTCATTTTTTAACCCAGATCGCGCCTTTGTAAATCTGTATCTGTTCACAGAGGCAACGCATGGTCATGGATATCAGTCATCAATTTGCAGGCTGTAATTTGACCGAGAAAATAAGAGCAAGATGGGAGTGACAGCTGCCCTTCAAAAGTCCTTTTATTACATGATCGTCAAGGCTTTCGGAAAATCAGCCCAAAGCCAATTTCAATATCATAACACCATTTATTATCCCCTCAAAATCATGTTCGGTTTACCTTGTTTACAAGATATGTCATTGTCATGCTAAAATGGGTGATGGAGAAGGCCGTTGAAAATGCTGATGGCTGATTTTTTGTTGTCCTTTTCAGGACTACAAACCCTCAAGAAAGATTACCGAGAGTCCTTTTCAGGACTCCTCAATTCTCCCTCTCTCTCTCACATGGTGCACCCAAAAGGCTACTGTATGATTGTTTGTTGTTGAATTTTGTGTGCGTGTGGTTGTGGTGTTAATATCTATCGCAAGCAATATGCTTCTGATGCCCCCTCCCCCTCTCCTCTCCAGAAAGTGAAGCGACGCCCCTGGATTTATTATTGAGAGACTGTAAAATTACTTACATGATTACTAATCGATTTAAGACAGTTAACGTCGTTTTGCTTCTCACTCGTCAGTCTGCACTTTGCAGATTTATTTTTAACTGACCCATAACCATTAACCAATTACTGAAAAGTAGAAATGCAGACATCGACAGCTCTGTAAAAGTTATAACCAGTAATAGACCTACATACCAAACAGAGTTAGCAGCATATTAAATTCGTATACTCTTGTCATCTGTTCTACGTCATCGTGGCCTTCTGAAAATGCGAATATGAGAATATGAAGTATTTACGTCTTATGATTGTTTTTAGAAAATGAAATTTAACAGATTTTTTATGTCTTCATAATTTATATACCCCCGCGAATTTTGATTGCATTGTCGCATATCTTCATTATGAGATCGCCGCAAATAACTTCTTGACCTGTGGATTGTTATTTCTGTTATAACTGCATCATAAATTATGTAAATATCTTGTCAATTTAATACATAGGTCCTATACATTCATACCCGTCTATTGTGCCCGCCTAAGGGAAAGCGGCCACTTTAGCCAGGTGACATTCCTAGACAGGTTCTACAACACACGTTCCTTTCTCGAGGGAGGAAGAAATACATGAACACAATAGACATAATATTATGTTCTTTATAGAGACAGATTTGACTGTAGTTCGTCCACATTATTACATGTGATTCAATCTTCTTTGTCATAAAAGTGGAGGAAATCATTCTTATCAACTCCAGAAACTTCCTGGTCAACTGGAGACAATGCTTGTCAAAATATTGAATAAACAAATATAAACATTAGCGTTCATAGTTTAACCTCTTTTGGAGGAAGGTCCGGAGCAAAAGGAACTATTTGGAGGAAATTCGACTGATCTTGATTTTGTGCCAAGACGTGTGACAGGCCCTGACGTCATATATTTTGTCATGAATTCTTATTCTCCATCTGTAACATTTAACATGTTTAAGACAATAATGGAAAATCATTGGATGCACTTTTTTGAACACGCGGAAAATTTGTATTGATTGGATTCAGATTTAGATTCGTTTATTGTTGCCAATTCCATGTGTGTGGCACTTACTGGGGCGCCGATTCATTTTAGGAGGGAAGGGGGGGGGGCGGGGTACAAGTTGATCAAAAAAATGTCTTTGAAATTAAAATCATTTATTTTGTTGGGAGGCGGGGGTAGATACATCCCATGATTGACTCCCTTAGAAACATAACTTATTATGTTTCTCTCATATATTTTCAGTAGTTTGCGTTTCAGTTTGTGATGTTCCCTCAAATCAGATTTCCTATTTTCATGAGATATATTACACTTTACAGGGATTCTTTACCTAAATCGCTTCGGAGCCGCTTATCTTGTCATATAACTAGATAAAGCTAGTCCTTATGAAAGTTGAAATGTGGAATTCTTTGCCAAAATGGAGTAAAACATGTAAAGATTACACTTTAGCCTATTCCTGTTTACATTTGAGCCATCTCTTTGAATAAAATATAAACAAGGAGTAAGGGGTGTCCTTTGCCCTGGGAATGAAAGACTCCGTGATCATCTGGAATCAAATTGAACTTGCCAAGTAACCCCTCCCCCCCCCCTCCCCCTCCAAAAAACAAGGGAGAAAAGTGCACGCCAGCATATATTATTATTTTATTTTCTCACGTAAAGGACCAATTATTTAATGAATGAAGTGTTTGTGGATATCCCTGCCTTTCATAGAGTTTGTACCAGTCACCTCTGTAAAGACACCACAAATACCACACAAATACCACACACACGTCTCCTGATAGTATAAGGGAACAAAACCTGCTAACGGGGACAGGGGCGCACCTTGACGACAAATTATACCTTCAATAGTCAAGTTTGATTACATATATTTTTTCATCCCATTGAAGTCATGCCCATTACTAGTAGCGTATGGGAAAGGCATTGCCTGTGAATTGCGGTTTACAATTTTGTTTGAGTTTTCACTGATAAATTGAATTGTTGCCTGGTTTCCGCCCCCAGAGCAGCAACAAAAGAGTTGTTGGCCAGTTGTTTTGAGTGGATTTGTTAGGTTCACGTTCACGGACCTATCTTTCTCACATGTAAAATAGATGAAATATTCGTAAGGGTAAACGTTGAGATGGATGGAGAGTAGAAGGGAGAAAAATTGAAAGATGGGGCGAGCCGGATGCGTGGAAAATGTAGAAGATGCATGGTGTGGCATAACAAAGCTTTTCGAAATTTATTTAGAAAATGGAATCTTGAGTCAAGTTCATGAACCTACCTTACGGTTAAGCAGTGTAAGGAACAGAATTATACATATATTTTGCTGACATTGTAGACAAGTTAGACTAAACTGAGACACAACGTAGATTGAGTAAGTGTATATTACCTATAGACGCTCTAATAAGCATCTTGGATTGACGAGGTAAGAAAATATTTTGTTACAAATTCTGGATCTCTTTGAAGAAGAAGAATTTGGTGGATAACTGACAAAAAATGAAACAAAAATGCTGAAAATGTTGATTATCGGGGAATTTCGTTCAGTTGAGTGAATGACGTAATTTCATCTTGAAGAGATCTTATTATGTAACGTGTGCTATCTAATTCTTCCTTCCATACATCTCGCTCTAAAAGCAGTGGTATAATTGGGGAACCTCTTGAGAATATTAGATTCGGAATGTCCTTTATTGCTGAAATATAGTCTAGACTTTATATATATATATATATATATATATATATATATATATATCTAGCCTGATATCATCGAAGGGAAAAAATAAATAGCTTTATCAACACATTTTATATGCTTGAGTAAACGTAATTGAGGGAATTCATTGAATGGCTCCGTTAATAGCGGGTTTGGCTGCATGGATGAAAATGAAACCTTTCAATTGTGCGGTGAAGATTGGTCATAAATGATGTGCTTTGTACGGGTCTTCAATTAATTCTAGTCGTTTTTTGCACAATCGTTCTAGCTTTCAAAGGATAATAAAGTACCCTGTAATATGTATTATTATGATCATTTATCAATCAATTGATTAACTGTGATTCCTGAAGCTGTTCTTGTATAATTGAAGTTGATTTGCTATCCTTGATGAAAACAAAATGCAAATCTATTTCATGGCTTTGGATATTAATATATGGAGTTGTAAAACCGAATTCGAAACATTGAACCAAGGAGCTTACAATCCTTCCTCTACGTCAAAACATGCGTGCATAATGTATGCCCTGTAATTCTTACACACACACACACACACGCACACACACACAAACAAACAGGCATATAAGGAAAACAACATAACAGTAGATTGTTCCCATTGTAAATATTTTGTCGCCGTGTCTATCATAATTATCTTTAATGAAAAACACACAGGAAAATACCGCATTTATTGTTGATTGACGCGACGTGAGTGTACGGGTATAATTTAGTTCAAGAAGGCAGAAGGGGTGGTGAGAAGGAGAGAGGGAGAGCGGGTGATGGGGTATAGGAAAATAATCGAAAACGGGAGAAGGGTATGAAAATGAAAAGAGGAGGAGGCAGACAGATTGAGGGGAGAGAAGTAGACTGGAACAGCTAGTGGAGAGGGTGAAGACTGAAGGGGGAAATGCCCCAGGGCCCCCACTGTATTTTCCCCAAAACCTCTTCTGTCTGGTATTCATCCGTCCGTTGAATGTATTGTAACTTCTAATTGCTTGTGATTACCCCGCTTTGAATGTGGGCTTTGCGTGGACGCGGTTTTCTCCTTTCTCTAGAGTCCACTCAGGTCATGGCATTCATTCATTCGTCGGCTCTGCTCTGATCCAGTCGGTCCCAGAGTCTAGAGTACGGCGTTGGGTACTTTGGATTAGAGTTTGTATTCATGCCTTTACCTGGTTATAATGGCTTCCATTGAATCGATTTATCATCAATGAAAGTGTTTTCATGTGCTGATTAGACTGAATCATTGCTTGCTTGATCGAATAGTCTCGACTCTCAAGTGGGTATTGAATTGGAGCTTGAAGCACATTCCTAGAAGACTGGCGTCCCTTATTTGTGCCTCGAACATTATCGAGGTTTTAATGATTCCCCAGGTTATTGACGGATGGATCCATAAATCAGGAATATAACAACTGAGGTAAGAATCTAATTTTAATGGAGTTTGATAAATTTCTACCCAAATTAGGCCTCCGAAGTACATCGGGATGGGAGATGGATTTATACTTGGCACGGTATTTTTGTCTTTGTGGAAAACCTGGCAAGTATTCAGTTGAAGATGCACCGCTGTTCCGAACATCCACACAACTTACTGAATGGCAAGTGATAAACTGAAGCAGCACGTCATATTTGTTGGTTGGTAAGGAGACCAGGGATTCTAACATGGATTTAATCATCTGAATTCTCTGCTGTTTTCATGAGTATTTGTCTTCCCGAAAACCCGCAATTATTCAGTTCAGGATGCACTGTTATACAAACATACATGTACACGCAATTTTGAGATTTGCAAGTTCTACCGACAGAGTAAGGAGATGGATCTTATCATTCGTATTCTTTCATGAACATGTGTACTTGTTGAAATCCAGTCATTCAATTGATGATATTCTGTTCCACACAATCATGTCATGACATACAGTAATTATTATGTCGGATTGATATCAACCTTACCATGAAGCACATATTGAAATGGGTGATAAATCATTGTTGCAAAATTGTTTTTGAATTTCTGATAGTGTATCTATCATCGAATAAACATTTACTTTTAAAGTACATGTATCAAAGAGAAATGTTGCTGAGCAAGCGCCATGATCATCCCTGGACGGTAAATGGGCTCTATAAGTTTACACTATTATTATATTGAAACATCTTTTGAAATTTGGTAACCATTACAAATCACGGGATCTAGTCCAGTACGTCCCTCACAGCTCACTAGTTTTTATCAATACCTTTGCAAATATTAAACTTGTCCAAAATGGACTTTATATTCTGAATACATTTTCGAATCCAGGGTTCTCTTGCCGCGGGCGCAGGGTCACGAGTCATCACATCTAATTTTTATTTTAAAAATTTGTTTCAAAATTCTCTGACAACCACTAATACAAGTTAAGTAGTGTACGTCATAGATTCTATTATGAGATGTTATAAAGTCTAATGGAGCAGAAAATAATTGTCGTGAAATATAGTCATATTGCGACGCGATTCACATAATTTTAGGCTTTAGATTTTAGACTACAAAATTGTTGTGAAAACACAGTCTTATCTGCTGTTGGCAAAACTCTACTGCTAATCCACCATGTGCTAAAGCCATTAGAAACAAAAAAGTTTTGCTTTAACTATACCATCATAATTTTATTAACCATATCCTTATTATACCTTTCCGATGCATCGGATACGTGGGAATACAAAGGCAACAGTTCTCAGCTTGCGTGCGAAAACCAGAGAGTCTGTCGTCTTTTGCAGGAAGCGATATATATATACCCGTCGAGAATGGAAAATCAGGAGTAAATTATTAAAAAATGATTTTTGGCTAGATGTTGGGCACGTATGTGGTACACATGCTCCCAAGCGTCGACAGCTGTTTACATTGAGGTTTTCCTTTCTGGCTACAAAAAATCTGTGTTCCACATCACACTCCCGTCATTTATTGCTGATTGATAGATTATTGGATGGAGTTAAAAATGGAGCGGTTGTATATTTTGGCGGTGTATTCGTGGGAGAGGGAGACAGACATGGGGTTTGGAGGAGGGGGGGGGGGGGGGGGGCAACGGAGTACGTTTTATTGAAACTTGGTCTACGCGCTCCAAAACAGCACAAGGAGTGGTATGAACATGATGAAGGAAGTTTATGATTGAATTCTTAACCATTCACACTGAAGGCACATTTATTTCGTACGTCATGTACGTGAGAAGAAAACAAATGAAATCGACCATACACTCTTTCTCTCGGCAGATTACAATCTTTGATACAGATATTAATTATTTTGTGCAATACAGATACAGATGTGATACATATATTAATTTAGAACTTATTCGTAAACGAGCCTGAGCGGATGCTTGCAATTCAAATTCAATAAAACTTTTAGATAGTATCTCCCATAATACTGTGATTTCAGTTTCACATAGGCACTGGTCCTTGGCAGTATTTACACTAGTCAATGTCTGTTACCATTAGTATCAAGTGAACAATCATTTCTGCGTTCTTGAAAGGTATTCAAATACCAACAAAAGACTTTACACACAGGTTAGGCAGGTTACTCGACCGCGAGAGTCTCTCTACACTTGTAACCCTGTCGGTGAAGCTCAGAAAATGGGGCACGTATTTGCTGTAGGAGTGACCTGAAACTCTAACTTTCATCTAAAACAAAACGATTGGCGATGGAACTTGACACATTAAATTTAGGGCAATTTGTCATGCTCCAGATAATCCCAATGTAATTAGGGGGAAAGTCGATCGAAATCACGAAAGGTGTATTTCTTTTCCTAAGCTCAACTTTTCCACCAACATGACCAACACAATTGTGATGATGGATGTATGCTTGCATGGAGAGGGAATCCCACGGCTTTGTATTTGTTTTCATATCGTCTGTGCAAAGTGATTGTGTATTGCCATTAAAAAATCTTGTCCGCCATGACCGCCATGACCGCCGATGTTTCGTTAACCCTATCAACGCCACAGATGGAGAAGAGTATCATGTATACAACACTACCGTGTGATAATGATATTACATTTTGATCAGTATGATCACAGGAGGATTACAAACCCTCTTATTGTGACTCCAGAAAAAAGACGAATCTCTGAAATCGTCGAGATTGTGCCTTCATACAAAGTCATCACTAGGTATAAGGGGGGGGGGGCGCCACTCCCTCCAAATTTCTGTTTAGACATATTATGATCCCTTTTTTTAAACAAAAAGGAAGTAAAGGATTTTTATTTTCATTCGCGTGTTGAACGATTCCTCACCAGTTACCATTCATCGGCAAAATTTGTCTAACGCCCCGCCTTTGCTCAAAGATTACCTGATCAATGTCCCAGGTCAGTGCCAAGTGCTCTAGTGGTGTTCAGACTGTTTACCTGTATAGCATCATGATAGGTTTTCATGTGGTATGTTCGAAACATTAATCAGGGTGTCATTCTCACCATCGTGATGGGCACATGACTAGGAAATTAGTGACATCCGATTGCTAACGACAAGTAACACTATTTTAAGAAGGCAGCAACATATTACGTGGCAGGTTAATACAATAATCCAGGTGATTTTTAGGGTTGAAATAACTTCTCCCAAAGAGGGAGCCACATTTGTCGCCCCCAAGGGAACCACATTGCGACCCCCTCCCCTTCTGACACCCCTAGCCGCCTCTGCATTACAGATACATGAATTTCTGTTTATTTGGCCCGATTTTGGCGCTAACATTATGAGTTGGATACCTGCTCATGAGAAAGAAACAGCAAGGTGATATTTTCATCACCGCTATGTTTGGCTACTTGTCTTTTAGTTTGAGCTTTCAGCGGTTCTTAATGGGCAGATCAAGGTTGGGGCGTTCCCATTTCATGTCATGTCAGATTCACCACATCCAGTATCTATTTCCTTTTCAAGTTTACCAACTGTTGTGGTCTGTACCTTCCCTGGAAACAATAGACGCGTCACTCATGTCACTGGTATAAGACAGCGAGAATACTCACCGAAGAGTTGTTTGTCAGGTATTGTTATGATTGTGGTTCTACTGAAATAATATTTAGATTTGTAATCATAATATTGATACATTTGACGGTTCTTCCTCTATCTCTCTTTCACCCTCTCATCCCCTCCACCCCTATATATCCCTTCTAATGAAGTAATATGTGTCACTGATACAACACTGCTTCCTTGATATTTAAGACATTGATATTATCGTTGTTATTTCACAGTGAAGCATTATAACTCGTGGAATAACTCGGTGCAAAATAATGTTCACCTAATCTGATATTGATAAATCAGTTGTAACCTCTTCATACAACGCACGTTGAACATTGATTCACATTGCAAATAATTTGTATTCCATGTTTTGTTACCAATTTTGCAGATGGTGCAGAAATGAGGATACTTAAAGCGACCTTAGCGTCCAACTCAACGATGTAGAGACGGCCTTCACCATTTCGATCTCCAACTGCAGATTGACCAAGTCTTCCTACCATTCTGGCTGAAATAGACCGATTTCTGATGCTGGACCATTGACAGTCCTTGGGTATAGCTCGAGATGACCAACATTATACTCAACATATCGATGCTACCAGTGCTTTAGATTTGCCCCCTCCTCCTCCCCCCATCTTAACTCTGAGCCTCGACTGGTAGCGGCATCAACAAGAAGCAACCCCCTGATCGTCAAAGACTTCATCCTCCTCCTCATCGTCCAGGTCTGATGATTATCCGAGATGGCGCGCTGGTTTCGACGTCGTCGCAGTACCGTGGTAGCGGTGTTCCTGACCGTGTGCGCCTCCGTCTTTCTCCTTGCTCGTGTACATAACGACATCGGTGACTTCCACAATGAACCGGTAGAGGAGCACCGGGGTATCGTGGTTCGGGAGGAGCAGAGGCATGGAGAGTATGGCCGGTGGGTATCTATAACCTTTAGCCCAAGATTATTGGGAGTCGAAAGCTAAATCATTTCGATCTTTCCTTTTTCCACTAAGGGAAAAAACAATCTACCAACAGACTGTGAATACTCAAAATTCGCCAATAGAAAAGTTTCGATAGAACGGGTATCTCACAATTCCACCCCATCCACCCCACCCCACCCCCACCTGTGACGCTCCCTGCGAAGAGTCGTATGTGGATGTTTAGAGATGAAATTTGTTTGTATTCCTACTATCTATCCTGAGATTTGATATTGAACTTCCACCGAATTAACGTGAATTTGGTCAATGTTTACCACTTTGGATTCAAACTGAGATTTCCGCTCACAATGAAGAAAAGGAAGGACAGATACATCCATAAAGAATTGAATAAATTGTATATAAAGGCGTTTCATCATAGAATATTATACCGGTGCTTGTTTAACAAATATGTTCAACCCGAGGTTCGAACACTGGCTTCGTTGTTCAAATTTAATAGGAACATTATATTGCCAAGCGGTAAACGTCGTTTCCCTTTGAACCTTCAATGGAGATTTGATGAGCATTAAACCATGGCGCCTATAATAGCAATAGATAGGGCAATTGCACAAAGACATCTGTACCTCCCCCAAAACATAATCATTGAACAACAACACAGTATTATAGACTTAGTATTACAGATTTAATTCATTGTGGTTTCTACACATTTCGTGAATCTCGGCGGGGGTACTTCTAACTTATTTTCGAATGAACTTTGAAAGGGGTTATCATTATAATTGTAATTTGTGTGTATTGTAGTTTGGAAAGCATCTCGTAGAAGAAGAATGTCTGTATGTGTAAAGTTTAGAGTTAAAATCTTTCAAAACAATGTCGGAGATAGACTATATACACTGTCTGCGGTTTTATGAGAGGTCAGTTATGTTGACCTCACAATAGTACAAGCCTTTTGAATATTTTTCATATCAATTGAAATCGTGCTTTCATATGCGGCTCCCGTCTCCAATTTCATAAAGATAATTTTACGAAAAATCTTATCATCACGTATAAATAACACTGTCCCCATTTAGCAGATGATACTGGCTATAACTGACAGTGACAGCTAGAAAATTACCAACTTAAATATTGATGATTGATTCATATTTGGTCGCACCAGTCAAGTTCATACCACTTATTCATAAGTCATCCAGCTGGTTGTAATAACGTTTCTTCTTTCATTCCCGCGTCCGATGGAAAACTAACTGTAGGTGCACAGTAAGCTGGTTATGTGGAGAAGGTCTATGATAGTATTCCGTGCAAAGTAGATGGGTAGCAGTATTGTAAAAGTAGAGTGATATTATGCGATGGTAGACTTTGATTCATTTTGGCGATGTGAATGAATACATTGGTTACAAATCTCGTCTTCCTTTTGAACAGATAATTTAGAATAGTATCAATCTCCTCTAATAAAATATAAGGGTCTGTCATGATATAAATACTTGATAAAACTCCTTTTTTTTTTTTTTAACCCAGAGCCTCTGGGAAAATGGCTTTAGAGAACTTTACGACCAGTAGTAACTGTGCCTATTTCATGTGGACCCTGATATAATTGAAACTTTATCAGTTTTCGGCTGCTAAGGACCCAGTTGCTATGGCAATACAGTGTCTTGCAAACCCCACCTGATAAAATATAGTCGTAGATTACCTTGTGTTTAGTCTCAATATTATCTTAGTGAATTCAGATAGTATTCGAAAATCAGCTTGAAGCCAGTCTGATCTAAAAACTCCTTGGTCTGATAATGCCGTTCGTGTGTATACAGCTATTACTACAGAAAGTTCAAAGAGACATTCGATCACCGCACGAGGAGAGTATCGACTTGTAATTTCATTTGCTAGACAAACAATGGCAGGTATTCCCCTCTTTGTAGGGATTTAACCCCATTATTAATAGTAATCTGCTTTCATTTGTGACACTTTGCAAATGCGCTGTAATTGGCCTCTCTCTATAAAGCACAGTTCACAATAGACCTGCTTTTCAAAGAAAATAAATGACCGGTTTAACTGCAACCGATCATTACTCGACGGGAACTGTTATGGCTTCCGCGTGTAGTCAATATATTGAGAAATGAGTCTGTAATTGGAAAACACAACGGAGGGGATTTTTTATTTTCATTGTGGATTGATTAAAAAGTCGCTCCAGTTATATTCCTTTTCTTCAAACAACGTTGCAAGTATTCTTGAGAACCTTATTAAACTGTTATACCGACAAACCGTATGATGTCTGTTTCTTTTTCTTTTTAAATAACGGTTTAATTGGTCAGAAGTAGAATCTCTTATTAAAAAAAGGACAGGAAAAACATTCAAGGTTTGCTAAACAACCTGTAAACGCGAGGTTACTGGGATTAGAAGCGTATAAGATCACAGTCCCATCAGATCATGTTGGCCAATTTTAGTTTGCAAGTATATCCATATTATTTATAAAGAAATTATTGAACGTGCACTCCCAACGACAAAATAAGGATGATGTTGTGGACTTAGAAACTAAAAGGGGAAAAAAGAAATAGTAGTTGTATCTTTATCCTACAGTTTTCTGGCTTCAAGACAAATTTCTAATTGGTTTCAAGATATCAGTTGAGATCCTTATAAATAAGCGCTTGCGAGTAAGAGATCTTCAACATCTTTCAATTCTTGACCATATTGGCAATTACTTTTTTTTTCTTAAGCCGTAGTTGGTGTAGTATGCTATCTGGCTTCAAGGAGACCGCTTGGCTCAAATACAATCATGTAATCTTAATAATGAGCAGGGGCTGATCTCTCAATTATTGACCATGTGTTTATCCTATAACCGTATTAGGTACACTGTCAGGCTTCAAAATAAATTGGGCCAAATTACGAAAATGAGCGCAGGCTTTTCTCACATTTCTCGACCCTAATGGGTTTGGGTCGATTGGTTCAAGAAAGATTAAGCTCAAAGACGATCATGAAATCGTATAAATGAGTAGAGCCTGATCACTCGGTTATTGACAGTGACTTTATCCTATAACCATAGCAGGTTTGTTGTCTGGCTTCAAGAAAGATGAGGCTAAAAGACAAACATGAGTGGAGGTTGTTCTCCCAATTTGCGACCCTAGCTGTCCCAGTTTTGGGTTTCGTTTTCTAGTGTCAAGTAAAATGTAGCTCAGGGAGAGTAATGACTTAATTTCTTAATAAATGGAAGATGATCTCTCCATTGTTGACAGTGGTGTTATCCTGGTGTAAAATTTGTTGTCAGGCTTCCAGGAATATTGTGCTCAATAATAAGCGAAGGTTAGTCTTCCATTCCTCGACCTTAGTTGTCCTCTTTAACCGTACCAGATTATGGCTTCAAGACAGATTGGCTTCAAGACGATCCTATCTTTCCAGGGACTTCTCCCAATCGTTATTAAATAGTTTTACAGGTGACTTAGAATTTATTGAGGAAAGGGAAGAGTTTGTACTTTGGAAAGCGGCAATCTTAATGAGTTTATTATGCATAAATAATTTGAATATTTTGAATCCTTATGGTACCGTTTGTCTGTAGAACGCTTCGCAAAGGTAGTGTAAACCGTCGGAAAAACGTTGAATGCTAATTATGTAACATGAAGAAATAAAACTACATTATGTAACCGTGAATAAGTATGTATACTTATATTTTTTTATATAGCATTTTTAGTTCGTTCTAATATTGCTTTTACCATTTTATCATTAGTAACAGTAAATATGAAAAAACATCAAATTTTCTTTTGGGTCTCGTACAATGTTTTGTATTTCGTCACTCCATATATAGATCAACCTGTTGTACAGAGTTTGACAAACATGAATGCTTGCTGATTTGATACATTTATAAATAAATGTATTTTTTTGGATCCGGGCAATTACTCTCCAGGGTGGGTAGTCCGCGGGGGAATGGTAGTCCATGGGGTAGTTGTCCTAGCAACCACGATAAAGATTTACAGAGTCTTTTTATACATGTTGTATCATTGTATGTGAACAAAAATCTTTTGGCATAATACTTGCGATGTCATATCATGACGAATTCGATCTTATTAATAACATTATTTCCTCTTTCTCTTTTCTACCCCGCTCCCGCCTACTACAGAAAGCGGTTGCAGGCTATTCCTGACGATCTTCTGTCCCAGGACGAAACTCCATCGGTCGTGTTCAGGTCGGAGAAGATGCCTCGAAAACCTTCCTTCTTGGTCTACGTGTATGACCTTCCTACAAAGTTCAACACCAACCTGTCCAAATGTGTGCAGTACGGTGACCCCTGCTTCAAGTTTGATGACTACGGAATGGGTCCAGAGCTGAGGGCGACAGAGAAGATGAGTTACAGAGAGACCTACGGTCACTCGCTGGAGGTCGTCCTTCACGAAAAGCTGAAGGCGAGTTATCACAGGACGTTTAATCCGAATGAAGCAGACGCTTTTTATATTCCCTTCTATGCTAGCATTGCTTGTTTGTGTAGGACGTACAGTCGGTTAGATGTTTTGAAGCTTCATAATGAACTGTGGACGTTTTTAAACAACGCATTGCCGTATTTCAATAATGGCAACACCCTGAGACCTCACTTTATGGCGCTGGGTCGGATGGAACGGGAGCACTGGGGAAGCAACTGTCCACTGCTCCGCGACGAGGCAAGAACATCCGCCATCACCTTCATTGGTATCGAGCAGGAGCCGAGCGAAAAGACCCGTCGGTACTTCCATCGCGACGGCAAACAGATGATCATCGCTCCGTTCCCAAGCTACGGGCATTTCAACTCTAAGGACACTTCCGCCCTGGTGTCCAGTGTCCGACTGCGTCAGCAGATCAACGTCTTCCCGCCAGACATCCGTGAAACAGAACGCGATGTGTTCATGCTTCTCGCTGCGAGCAGTAGGAAGGGACACGACGTACGAAGTATGCTCAAACGCAGGATGAGTGCCACAGGGGATCGCTACTCGCAGTACGCATCTCTTGCAAGCCTCAAGGACATGCAAGCAGTCTGGTTCAACACACCAGAATGTCACCAGGACATCCATCTTCCTATCATTGACTGGATGCGGCACTCCATCTTCTGTCTCCAGCCACCGGGCTACTCCAATATCCGCAAGTCTTTCTATGATTCAATCATGAGTGGTTGTATACCAGTCACTTTCCGATCCAAACGTAGCCATGTCATATATCCATTTGAGAGGACGCTCGACTATCGGCGCTTCACTGTGAATATCCCAATAGACGAAGTCTTATCGGGGAAGACAAATGTTACCAATATTTTGAAGGGCATCACCAAGTGGAAGATTGCCGAACTTCAGACGGAACTTGCCGAAGTAGCGCCGAAGTTTCAGTATTCATACCCGCCCATAAGGGGCCCCGATTATGATGCATTTGCCGCGATCATCGAAGAAATGAACAAAATTGCCGAGTAAAAACTATATATCGGCAAACATTAACTGGCGATTTGATTGGCGTTGTTGCAATATTAAATGATGCGCAGAAGTATGTGCACAAAAGTACTTTTGTTTGAAGTGTGTACAAAGTGACGACTCTTTAATACATTGTAAATGTATCATATATATGTCGCAAAAGATATTGAAGATGCATTGTTTCCACTGGAGGACTTATCTTTTGCATCTCTATTCAAGCTTTTTAAAGTGCCAACCCTTGAATTGTCTGCTGCCTCATCGTTGTTTTCACCATCATGTTACAATGAGGAGTTTGAGATTTTGATGTGATTTTGTATTTCTCGAAAGGAGTTATACATACCTCTTTGGCCAATGCACTGATAGAGGGGAAAAGTACGAGGACGATTAGGTCTTCTTTCGGAGCTCTTGATTCGTGTGTAGACAATCAATAACTTTTTCATGGAAGATATGGTCATGCTCGTTGTATACTCAAAGTTTTGAACAAAAACTATTCTTGCCAGGGAAGATATGTAAACATTCAGTCAGTGAAGACGCGGAATGATTGTTTTGAACACTTTGTCCAAAAATAGTAATCAAAGAGTTGAAGTGCATGGTGGGAGGTTAATTGCTTTAAAATACCGTATGGGCGGTAAAGGAATTGCTTATAATTAGATAATTCGACAGGTTTTACCTTCAGCCTTCAATGTTAATTCCCTAAGTTAATTGGTAATGAGACATCCTAAAGATTTCATTTTGGTGGATAACGGATGGGTTGAAACGGTCACCCAATTGATAAACTAATACTATACTTAAACATGAAAAAAGTCTCTAAATAGCTGAAAAGTGTTGTATTCTACTGCAACAAATTTCCTATCCTACTCAGAGAGCATCCAGAGAGCTGACGGGATTTCCGGGAATTCAATTTTTGGGAATTATCCCACCCCTTATGACATTCCTGGAACTACCCCTGCTGTGTCATATTCTTTGAAATTAAGACAGTTATAATTATTTCAATTTAATAAACAGATGTTGAATGGGCCTATCACGCTTTGACAATCTCTCGGAACATCTCGACTGAGTAATAATTTTATGATTAACCAAGTTTTCTATATGTGTTCTTCTGGGATGTGTCCTCTCACCCCCATGTATCCTGAAAATGTGTTTTGAAGTTTTTGAAGGAAATTAATTTCACGTGAAATCAAACAGCGACGGTACAAATTGTAAAAATGCATCACAATCATACATATCAACGTAAACATAATTCATCATCGTCAACATCATTATCATCACCATCATTATCATTGTCATCAGCGTTTTCATTACAATCATTACCGTCGTCATTATGATTTCGACCACAATAACAATTACGTTCGTCATCATCACTAATAGTTAAACAGTTCTTTATACAATGATGATTGATAGAGTTTATGAACTGCTTTTAGTTTGAAAGCTACATGCTTCGGAATAATCCTTTCTTGACAAATATGTTTGACTTGTGTTTGTGAATAAAGAAGATTTATTTATTTTATACATTACATTTCAAACGTCCGATGTTTTTTTTGTGAATTTTCATTTACCTTATTAGTATGGGAAAGAAAGCGAGAGAGGGGTTGTAGTGAGAGAGAGAGAGAGAGAGAGAGAGAGAGAGAGAGAGAAAGAGAGAAAGAGAGAGAGAGAGAAAGAGAGAGAGAGAGAGAGAGAGAGAGAGAGGGGGGGGGGGGTGTTGTTGTGAAGGGAAGTTTATCCGATCCCTTCGATGCCTTTCATCATGGACCCAATCGCTGTTTTACTGGTCATTAGATTTGTCTACGAACGTAGATGGCAGCATACCACAATGGGTGGTGAATACAATTGATCCTATAACGGTAAAGAATGTTGTTATACTAGAGGTGCAGTTTATTGTAAGGTGGTGACTTATTGACACGATTTGGAACGACATCCAAGGGAAGGGGTCATTTTGTCATTATCACGACAGGGACCTTATGAACCAAACGAGGGGATTTTAATTATGAAGTACTGACACTGCACCTAAAACTATTTTTGTTTAAACCTGTATGGTGCCATGCAGTTTTTCTGTCATAAAATGATTATGTACATAATTTTTATGCTTTGATTTTGCAATATTAATACATGAGGGAGCGAAACGTAAGGTAACAATTTGCCCCACCCCCGGGAAGCGTTATTTTTTTTTCTGCGGCACAGATTTGGTCAGGTGAGTGTTGAGCCTATGGCAAAGTTTAGGGTTAGGGTTAGGGTTAAATCAAGACGTCTTTAAAAAAAAAACCCAATCTGTGCCGCAGAAAAAATAACGCCCCCTGGAACACAGGATCGATACGACGCTATACTTTTCATTCTCTAGTTTTGCGACTCCTTTTAACCTGTAATGATTTGTGCGGAAACGGGGATGCATTTAGTTCGGATTTATAAATATATATGCGATGGGATAAAAATAGAAAATATACTAACAGGTTTAAAAACTATTATAAGATTAAGCAAGATATAATTGGTTGGTTATAGTATTGATGGGATTAGAAACTATTACGGATGCACATCGGCAATATTGCAGATAAGAACAGGGCTACTAGTAAAATACGTGGTGTGTAAACGAGGTGGGAGATGAGTGAGTGAGAGAGAGAGAGAAACTCATAGAGAACAATAACATTAGAGAAGAGAAAGAAAAGGGAAGGGTGACAAGATGTTAAATTTAGATACTGGAGATTAAGGAAAACATAAGTGTAGTTTTTTGTTCCTCCAAACAAAACGATTCTATCTTGACTGAATAGAAATATACCTCTTCATTTATTATTCATCAAAGTTCATCATTAAAATTTAACAAGTGAATTTATATTTCCTGTAAAATTTGGATATATTAGGCCATGTAAAAAAATATACATGTTTAGCGTCCCCGCCCGCTTCCTTTTTGGGGGCCACGTCTTAGTTTTTTTTTACTTTTTTTTTGTTGAAATTTTTTTTTTGAAAGAAAAAAAACATGAAAATCACCGCTAAAATGTATCTATTTCTGATTTTAAAAAATAAAATAAAAAATGTCGGCGGCCATCTTGAAAAATAGCCCGACTGTCAGGGAAAATGTGCCGAGAGGCCATTTTGAGCGGTCATTTTGAAGAAAAAAAAGGGGGCCTCCTCCTTCCTTTTTTTCGAAAAAACAGGACGCTAAACATGTTTTTTTTTTAAATTGGCCTTACTAGAGGTAGAATATAAACGATGGTACGAATGATGAAACTTACAGCGTGTTTCTATCATAAGCCATTATCCGGTTAGTATCCGATAAGGGATACATTTTACCAAATGCCCGTGAGAGCTGTGACGCAACAAAGCGCATGTGGTTACGACCACGTGAATATTTAGGTCACTACGCGCAAGGGTTTTTACGCGCACAATGTAAACATGCGCCTTTGGATTGTTACGTCACAATGTATATGCATGTCAACAAACTTTTTATGTTATGTAAACAAAAGAAACGCACTAAATTTAGTTCATAGTTTATCTAATTGAGAATTAGCTGTGCTCTTCACTTTACTCTCACTTACGATTGCTTTGTTCATCGAAACAATACGAAAGTTTGATATATCCTGACTTTTCGTATTAGACCTTGTCTCACTATATTGACAATTCATAATGATTTATGAAAATTCAAGAAATCAAACACGGTAGGTTTTGCTTATTTTACTGGATTACTTGCTGTAAATGCGATAATCGGTGACAAAACTTAACATGAAATGTGAAGAAAAGCACATTAGCGTCAATTCTTTTTGAAAACACATGGAGGACAACACTTTCTAAGTAGAATTTTATAGTCATGAAAAGATGATTTCACAAATGAACAATACAATAAATAGAGTGGCTCTTTTGGAATTTGCCAGAGGTTAAACAAAGGAACTAGAAGATGGGAAGACAGAGATAAATTGATCAAGTACTTGGTAAAAGAGAAGAGGAAACGGTGAGAATTCATAGTTTCTTTATTAGGCTTATGAATTACATTGGAGTTTTACCCCCAACAAATTGTAATACATGTACATGTATTTTTGCTTATCTCCCCTATCCCATAGCTGTATCCCTTTCTTACCCTCTTATCCTCTCTGTGCATTTCTCTGTCTCTGTCGCTGTCTCTCTCTCTCTCTCCCCTCCTCCTCTCTCTCCAATTTTTTCTCCACTTACTCTCTGCATCCACTTTTTTTTCTTCTCACATGGCATGCACAGAACCACAGAAATATGTTTTGAAACAAATTGAGGGAATAAGCTTTCTAACCATTTTAAATATCTATTGACGCTACTTTCTATAGCTTAAGTAAAAACAAGTTAAACAAAGAATAATTGAAATAAAGGAATAGGGGCAAATGTTTTTGTTTTTACTATTTTATAAATCCATGATAATTTTGGAACCAAGAACATACATATTACAATATGCAAAAGACTAAAATCAATTAATACCACAAAACAAAAGGGCAATTGTTAATTCATAACTTGCTACATTTAGCTTTACTAACACAGTCATATCCCAACATGAAAAGCATTCATAATGCAGAACAAATCATTTTGCAGGAGAACATGAACGCCTAGAACTTTTCTTTATAATACTCTAAGTTTGAAGTGAGAAATACAATAACTACAATAACAAAATTTGATTAGAAATGTTCTCATTGTGACCCTCAAGAAAGAAAAGAAAAACAAATGTAAAAGGTATTTAACAGTGTTGAGACAGCACAATGCTCAAATAGTTTTGTATGGAGTCCAACACTGCCTCCAGATGTATGAGATACCTGTCAATTTGAAGAGCAAGTTTCCAAATTGAAAAATTATTTACCATGACATAACCAATCTCATTCCATTTTAAGGCGAGTTTGGGGATCTCTGCAGTACATGTATGACATTCCATGTAAGTACTACTTCTTCTTCTAGTTCTTATTTCGGATTTTTAGGACAATTGTATTATATCTTGTGGAGAGGAATGTAATCTTTGAGAATCTGTAAAGATGTCATCTGATGAGAACAGAAGATGAGAAGTGCTTCCAGAAAGATGATCCATGAAGTCTCTGTAATTTCTACCTGCAGAGTAACAATGAAACAAAGTAGTCCTGAAATAAAGGTAATATCATTCAAAATGATTTAGAATATTAAAGACGAGGTCCACCCTGATATGAAGATGGTTTTAAAGATAAACTAATAAAGACCAGTTATGGTCATGCGATTGCATTGTGAAAGAAACGTTGTGGAATCGATGAGAAAAGGTTGATCATCTAGCATATAAGTATTGGTGTGTACTGCAAGGTTCTGGAATCTTCAAAATGATAAGAAATTTGGCGCAGTCTTGGTAAAGTTACAAGCAATGTTTATGTTCCTTTAAGAAAATGTTCAATCATACATTCACCCTAGATAAGTAGATATAATAATTGCAAACATGGTTTTAGACAACCCATGTATGAAACAAATCTATTCCATCATCAATTACAAAGCTAATGGAAATCTATTCCATCATCAATTACAAAGCTAATGGAAGTTTATGAAATTTTCTGTACAGAGCAAATTGGAGAGGAGCTCGCAAGATCTGTCACACAGTTGCTAATTTGTGTTTGATTTACAGGACTTCAAAAAGTCATAACACTCTCATTTTCATCTGATTTTACTCAAACTTCCACTTATCAACTTCATTTCAGGGTGGACTTCCCCTTAAAAGAGTTGACTTAATATATGTTGTGCATAACACATACACATTAAGTGTAGATATATGTCATGTCTAGCTAGTCAATGTGGCACCCACAAATACATACAATTTTCTGTAACACAAGTTTGTTAACTTGCCATAATACTCTTCTCAATTTCTAGTAGGAAGGCAATATTTTCACACAGACAATACTTTGTCTAACCAAATCTAGCATGTCACTTTCTTCAGTGAGATTAGATAAGATTTAGCATGCTATAAAATGTTAGGGCCTGATAGGTGGTCAAATAAAAATATTTTGTCGGGTTTCAAAGTTCAAGAGTTTAGCAAAATTGAACATTTTGGAGGAAATAAGACACTGAACCATGGTTAAGGAATAAGGAAGGATGAATAAGGAAGGACAGAAATAGTATTGCAACTCAATAAAAAATACACACCTCTAAATAATCTCTGAAGATTGTCGCTATGAAGGTTCTAACCGATAAAGTTCATGACTACTAGATGAAGAATCACACTGGCGAAGATAAAGTCTGCAAAGGCACGCTCTGACGAAATTCCCTGAAAACTGGATTTATTTGCTGGGTTGACTTGCAATCTGAGACAAACTGTAGAAAAGATGGAGGAAGGTAACAATAAGTCAGGACAAACTGCAAAGGGTTATCTTTTATTCTACTGGTATTCAACGGCATTCTAGTGCAGTATAAAAAGTCATCGGATTCATCAAGCAAACTGTTGCAGTTGCGTATTTTGGTCTGATTTAAAGTCCAAGTCCATTCCAAAAATAAATTACTTTCAATAGAAGCAGAAAAATCAGACAAACCAATCTAAACAAAGTTTGAGCAAAATCAGATAACTAATAAGAAAGTTATGAATTTTTGAAAAAGTATGGTATGTAAAATTATAGAACAATGGAAATCACTACACAAATTGCCAATTTGGTAATCAGTCTGGTCAATGGCAATTTTAATAGGTAATATTACGTCACACCATAGAGATTTTGAAATGTCATGCTTTAAACAGATGACGCACTTCACACATAACTGACGCACACATGAAATTGCACACACATAAAATAGAAAAATCAATGAACATTTCAAAATAAATTTCCAGTTTGTACCTTAAATATGATGAAAATGAGAATTCTTCAAATTTAAAAAATAGTTACATATAAGACTTAAACTAAAATGAAATACTGAGATTCTGTTTTCCCCTCAACCACGCCCCCCTTGAGTAAAAAAAAGAGAAGAGGATTCGCAGGGAAAAAATGGCATCTAACAACATTCCCCCCTTGCGAGTAAGAAAATTGGGGGGAAAAATAGAGAAGATCAGAGAAAATAACAGGGAAATCGGTAAAATCAGGAAGAAGAAAAAAAATTGGGAAAAAATTGGGAAAAATAAAAAAAATTGGGAAACCGATTTAAATCAGGTTTTTATCAGGCCTGAAGGATGCTGAAAAAATCGCAACAAATGGGAGGATTTGACTGAAATATCATAATTTTGGTATCGAATGAGACAAAAACCGCAAACTTGCTCCTCGCACAAATATCTTATAACATTGAGTGAATGGAAGCCAGCAATAGCCAATAAGAAGGGCCCTTGTCGGCACCAATTTAGTAAAATGAGACTGCGATTTGCAGAGATCTGATGAACGTTTTTGCGTATGCGCTAAATGTAAAGTAAAATTCTACGTGTTCCAGTTGTAACTTATAAAACATTTGATTTAGTTAAGAATAATGTGTATCCCTTGTAAGTTGTAGAGATCTCAGTAAATAGTTTGTCATTCTCTATTTCAAAGACAAAGTCAAAAGAAGTGCATGTACCGTCAGCCCATCAATGGATTCTGGAGAAAATAAAGGCGGTGATCAATAAAAAATTGTGGTGGTTAAAAATATAAACCACTTCATTGAGGACAATATGTTACAAAGACATGTACCATGTAGTGTTTTTCATGTACTTCAGGTGTTATGAAGTGAGACTACATGAAAAAAAAGTCAAAAACTTGTTTGGAGATAATGGGCTTCCATCGGCCATTCAACATGTAACCCCCCGAACTCACCGGCGAGCACGAAGGACCCTACGCTGGAGATGAACCCCGAGAGGAAGGAGTTGAATGGGAAAGTGCCAACAAGAGCACAGTAGACGAACTGCACAATTCCAGTCAAGAGGATGTAGGTGAGGTATGCATCAATTATTTTCAGCTTCTGTGGTGTTCTCGTCGTGTACTCATCATAAAATTTATTGATCACGGTGAACAGATTTACAGACATTTTGTGTTATTTGTTCGGGTCACAACAGCAGAAAACAATACACCACGATCCGCTACGTGTCGATCAGAGAGGAAGTTTCTTATACAATGTATGATGGGAAGGATTTTCAGCGAGTCATACGACACTATAAATCATGTAAAATTTAATATAAATCGTTTATACTCCTAAAAGTAATTATTTAGTTTATCGAAATAAAATTTAAAATTAATTATCTTATTCTAAAATGCTCTTTAAAATGTTTTATTTCTAAAAAGGATTCTTTACATTTCATATTATTGAAAGAGTCTAGACATAGCGTCTGCTAGGGTCATACTTGACCTCATGACTACGTCTACTCTATATCTGCCTACATCTACCCGGGTAGCTGGGCGAACGTAGATCATCTCTACCCGCTAGCCTACAGCTTGAATGACAGGTATTTTAAGACTTATTTTTTGCACTACACCAATATGCTTCTATTGTCGTTAAACCAAGAACAAGAAACAGAAAAACAGTAGAAACATAAGCTTACATCTATATATTATACTATCTTTAAATTAGATCTAGAGCAAGGCCTCTGTGACGGATGCAATTTGTATACATTTTATTTTTAGTCTTTTTGTAGAGCCTGCCAAAAAAGGGGGATGAGCTCAAAATTCAAACTATAATTAAATATAAACAAAAAGTATTGAACCTTGGTCATTCGAATGTAGATCATCAATGCAATGTCCACCATCTTCACATCCTAATCATGCTAATATTAAAGCCTTGCAGTGTTCTCATATTATTTGTAGACTAAAAGGCAGTAAAATATTTTTTTCATTCTTTATTCTAAACACTACAGTACACTACACTCCTCTACAGCATTATCATTAATGATTATGGGATTTTACCTAGCAATATTATTACTATTAACAAATAGATATAAAGCTGTAGAAGATTATGCCACTCATTGCCATGTATTGTGTTCCATATGTTCACACAAATTTGTTTCTTTTCTTTATCTTATTAATTAGTTGTACAGACTATATAGTACAATTCCTGAATATGGCATCGGCTGTGACTTGCGACCAAGCGACGCTGGAAGGCGATACCTCTCAGTCGAAGCTCACTCTCTTGAAACAGGGAGCAGAAGCCCGTATTTACCTGAGCACTTTCATGGGTCGTAGCTCCATCGTGAAGCAGAGATTCAAGAAGTCTTACAGACATCCTAAGCTGGACGCTAAGCTTTCACAGAAGCGCACCGGACAAGAAGTCAGGACAATCGTCAAATGCAGGAAGGCTGGTGAGTGAGAGATTTATAGGTCGGATTCATGGCTGGGTGTTACTAGTCCATTTTTAAGATTCAAACATGAAACGCTCAGCTCATGCAGGCTAGACCGAAAGCTTCAGTCTCTCTAATCGTCGGTTGTTCCACTGAGACTACGTCTGGCTCCACTAGACCTCCGATTACAGAGACTGAAGTCTGGGGACCTCTTTCTGTGAGGCACTGTACGGAACAAATGGTTCGGTTCGACCGGACCGCGATGAATGAGATATGCAACGAGATTTTCACTCTTTACATCCTCATAACTGCTGCAATTATAACACAAATTAAAAATAACATATATATAGCTTATTTGACTTACGATAGCTTGCTCATTTAGATCCTAAATTAATGATTAATCCGAGAAAGTCTCGTCGTCAACATTATCCGTCTTGGTGTTAGTTGATGAATATTCATTTTTTCTTTTCGAATGTCCAATAGCTACCGTAGCTACGTACGAGTAAGCCCAGCTTGACCAACGAACTCCCACGAAACGAGTGCTCTGATTGGCCATTTGGCTATGTTTTGGTAGGTTGATCCGGAAATATTTTGGCCGCCGGGTCATATAGCCCTATGTTCCGAGTGCATGAACGTTCGGAGATACAAATTGGATAATTCATATAAGTAAGTCCGTAAATTATCGATTTAATATTGAGTTATCAAATTTTGATAACTGTAATTAGGACAAATGACATACCGACCTAATTTACATCTGATTTAGAAATCAGGAAATTAGATCTAAATAAAGAAAATCGGGGAGAAAATGTCGTGGACGAAAATATGTACATATAGTAACATAGCCATCCCCACGGTACGAGATCTCTGGGTTGCCATCTGTATTGGGGAATGACAACAAATGTCAGTTTTATTAAAGAAATGACCCAAATCAGATGGTTATTGCTTGAAACAGATTACACAGTACACACAGAGAGAGAGAGAGAGAGAGGGAGAGATATTAGCCAAACTTTAAAAGGTAGAAAGCTAGGAGAGAGGAACAAAATGGATGGAGTGTGTATATGGACCCCCTCCCCCTAAAAAAAGGGAATTACCAATTTTTTTTTGTTTTAAGAAAAGTGTTAGAAATATATATATTCAGTTAAAAGCTTAATAGCATTGTGTTTTCATTCATGTTTATTTACATACGTGTTACGTGTATGTCTTCCATTTGCTGATTTTCAGGGATCACTACACCTGTGGTATACTTTGTCGACAATGACACTCATTCCATCCACATGGAATACATAGAAGACTCCCTCACAGTCCGAGAGTACATTCAACAGATTCAGAACTCCGGGGAATCCAACGATGATGAAAGGTTGGTGTCACTCGCCTCAAAGGTTGGAACGACCCTAGCATCCATGCACAATGTGGACATCATTCATGGGGATTTGACGACCTCAAACATGCTTCTGCGTCAACCTTACGAGGACTCGCGCCTGATAATGATCGATTTCGGACTCAGTCAGATATCGCATATGTCGGAGGATAAAGGGGTTGATCTCTATGTCTTGGAGAGGGCGTTTCTAAGCTCACACCCGAACACGGAAGAGTTGTTTAAGACAGTTCTTGATGTGTATGCGGAGAACTACAAAAAGTCTGGAGAAGTGTTGAAGAAGCTGGAGGAAGTAAGACAACGAGGGAGAAAGAGGGTGATGTTAGGCTAGGAGATATACTGAATAAGAATTACTGTTTATTATTTTTTATGTATTTTTTGTATTGATGTTAGTTGTTTTTATATAAAGGCCTTCTACCATTTATTTCAAAAGTAATCTACCCTGGTCACCCAGTATTTAAAACTGTATGTTTATCATTTCATGCTTAAAAAGGTAGTTCCAGGCATTTTCAAGCCAACACCAAAAAACTGACTGGTATTTTGAATACCAAGTCTTCATCCTAAGGATGGTACAGTATGCACATTCCTACTCGTATAGATAATAAGTATCAAATTATCGATCAAAGTATTGATCTTTAAAAAAAAAATTCAAAATGTTAGTATTGACAGAGATCAATTTTATTGTCTACAGGTGCATAACTTGTTTTATGGCAATACCATAGCATACTGAAAGAGATAGTTGTAACACACATCTTGGCGTACATGAACATGGCCATAGGTTAAATCATGTTGCTCCATAAAGTTCCCTCCCATGTACAATCCCTATTGGAGGGAACTATTTATAACTTCATAAAATGACTGACCAATCAGAAGCAACTTATGGTTACATAACTATGTCTCTCAAGTAGCTATGGGCAATACATGTACTATTATCTGGTTCTTCGATTCAAACTAAATGCAACACAATTAAAAAAATCCTATTTTACAAACTTCCATTTGGTCAAGGAATATATGATCTGAAGGATTTTTAATACAGTGCAGTACCAAGAATCAGAAGTGCTTCTTTGGCACCAGAGTTTTAAAAAAAAAATCACGATTAGCATACACCGTGTGGTATGTTGATCCAACAGTATATCTAACTGAAGAAGTGTGAATAATTGCTAGTGTAGGATGATTAAGATGAAGTTTCATTGACAAATAAATGGGTAAATAATAAATAATAATTGTGGCCACTTGTTTTTGTTGTTGATATGCAACTATGTAATATGCATGTAATACATGTATTTTACATTGAGCGAAGTCTGAAAATAAAAAAATAATTGTTATCTTACCATCAAAATTGAAAAATACTAATTGGAAGGCTACTCATTGAACACTAGATATAGAGGTAGAGCTATGTAATACATAGTGCTGTAGTCAAACGTTTAACCGTCCGGTATCCGACCGCCCATGGCGGATTCCGTTTTCAATTGGACGGTTTCGTTTTCCCGTTTTTTTTTTTTTTTTTTAATAATTTTTTTTTTTTTTATTTTTTTTTTTTTTTTTTTTTTTTTTTTTTTTTTAAAATAAATCGTTTAACCGAAAACCGTCCGGTTTTGACAGGCGGTTAAACGGAATTGGAGATATCCGTGATGTTACAGCACTAGTAATACATATGAACAAATATGTTTAACTGAAGGTACATAGAAGCAAGAAAGTAAGGCAACAAATATGAGGAATTCTTTGTTGTAACAAAGTTCAGTTTTTATTTCTATATCATAATAAATCACAAATTTAAACACAATCACACAACTAACATAATCAACTTTTCCTCTCATAGTTGGAAATGAGGCAGCATAAATGTGAGGTAGTTGTACAGGATGAAAGTATTTGTATTGGTACATCTATTTAATACCTGAATGGTCAGAGAGACCAAGTGCAAGAAAGCCTAACACTATGTGCCAGAGATAAAGTGGAACCTCATTATAAAGACCTCTGATATAATGAGGTATCTGTTATAACAGTGTGTTTTTGCTGTTCCCATCTCTTTATATTCTTTAGTTTTTATTTCCCTGATATAACAACATTCCTGATATAATAAGGCAATTCCCATGGTGCTAAAGACCTCATTATAACAAGGCTCCACTGCATTTAGTTCATTCACAAGAGGATTTTTTTTTTAGAAAAATAGTTTGGGGAAAAGTAATGCAAAGATATTGGCCCTTGATATGAATATGGTAAAATGCAGTGAACCATGTATAAGTGGTTGAAACGTCATCATCAATAGGGTCACAAAGGGTCAGTCATGACTCATAAAACGAAAACGACAATGAATAATGGTCAATAAGTTTAATCATATTCATACCTTCTAAAAAAGGCTTTGCCAATATATTCATTTACAAAATAATACAAAATCACAATATCAGTTCCAAGAACTACCGATACTTTATACATTTATTTAGCATCAAGGCACGATAACATAATTCAAAATCTATAAAGTTTATTTCAGCTATAATTCAGCTTATCCTTGGATTAGCATTTGGTATCGCTTAGCAGCTATCTCGCATCAATTTTGGTATACAAGATGTTTGCCTTCATTTGCACGAAGCCATATTGTACCCGGGCACTGTACATCACAATTCTGTGAATCACACTTGGGTACAAGAACACAGGTGGGAGTCGCTTCTCTTGGTTCATAGGATAGATATGTGCATAATTGGGAAGAACTTTTACAGTATAAACGTATGTCTAAAATACATGTATTACAATGTTCAGACTGTTTGAGGTCATTACCAGCCTTGTCCTAACACTTATATTTTTATCATAAAGTACAGAATTTTGTCTTTTCTTACTAACTTAAAATATTTTCTCATAAAATATAAAGTTTTGTCTTTTGAGAACCCGACAAGTGTCGACTCTATTTGATATTTTGGGAGTCAGCACCCTCTGATAATTAAACAAAAAAGGGTCATTGAAAGAATTATACATGCTTTAAGTGGAATCCATAATTGATAAACCACTAGTTTTTTTTCTTCCGGTTATTAGTAAGACGTTATTAGTAAGACAATATTATGTAGGCTACTGACAATAACAAGAGGTCTTGCTTTATATCTTTATACATATATAACAATTATTACATTGTTAGGGTTAATAAAATTAATTACGAAGGTGTTACATGATGAGTGTCTACCCTGCTTGTACATGGAAAAATTAAAGTTATTCAATAACTCAATCTACCACTCCATTGTTAATATTTGTGCATTTTGTATACAATGTTCCTAACGCAACACTTTAAATTAAATGTGTGCTGTAGTGATGGATGAGTTGTCTCTTATCTAAAAAGCTATCGCAGGCTATTCTATAGATATAATCTCTGCCCTTAATTTTTTTCAAAAGTGACAGGTTTTTGAAAATTATTCACAAAATAGGGTACTCACTATTAAAGGATGTGTTTGAAAAAGAGCTCCAGATTTGAAATACTATGTGGGGCAAAATTCTATGTTTTAGGTAATCTTCATGATTGGCAATTTGAAGGTTCCTGTTATACCATGGTTCCACTGTATCATAGTGTGTTGAGGGAGATAGTTATGACACACGCACACACATAAGCGATCAAAGGTCAATTTATGGAGATCCAAATACTTCCCTCCCATAGAGATTTTACGTGAAGGGAACTTTGGAGCTCTATGAATTGACCTTTGATCGCGTGTCACAACTATCTCTCTCAATATGCTATACAATATATGATAAGGTTATATCAATATGATTAAAGTCTTGATGGAGCCCCTCCTGCCACTAGTATGTTTTCTCCAGTGATGTAGCTAGCATCATCAGAGGCCAGGAAAGAGACTATTCCTGAAATCTCATCGGGAGTTCCAGCTCTGTAGAATGAGAGAGTTTGAGCAAGTGAGAAAGTGAGAGTGAGAGAGAGAGGGGGTGGGAAGAGAGAGGTGGAAAGAGAGAGAGAGAGGTGGAAGGAGAGAGGGGGGAGGGGAGAAAGAGGGAGAGAGAGAGGGGGAGAGAGAGAGAGAGAGAGAGGGGGAGAGAGAGAGTGGGTGGGTGACAGAAAGGACATTAATAATCATATCTCATTACACATCATTTTATGTACTCTAAAATCTAATATTAAGATATATTTGTGCAGGGATAGTAGTGAGCATCTTTGAATCTACCATCTTGAGCTTCAAAATGAAGATGGAAGAGAGACATGAAGTGCAACTTCATATCATTTTGTATGATTACTTGATAAACTACGAAACAGTGTATACAAAACCTAGTGTCATGATATCATGTTAACATATTTAGGGCAGATAAACAAAAAAAGTACATGTAACATAATTATGGAAATACATTTAATTTTTTTCTTCTTCTGTTCTTATGACCAAAACTGTTTACTCTCCAAACTGACCCCCCCCCCCCCCCCCACCACACCTCAAAAACCTGAAAGACTTCTAGCACACAAAGTACAGGATACCATACAGTTATTACTTGACCTTGATGCAAAAGTGCTACAGTGGACTGTTTTATAGACTAATAATCACTTTGTAAAGATTTCAACTGAGCTGGACCTTGGACTTTACATTCAGAGAAGAGGGCAAACAAATATTGGGCTACTCCATCCCCTTTACCCTACATATACATGTTCAAAGGAATAGGATGCCTTAGCCAAAATGTCATGATTCAAAAAGATTTACTTACACAAAGGCTAAAGAGATGCAAATTTGTATATCATAATGGCAGTTTTTATATTAAGCTTTTATGGGGCCCACAGAATTATAAAATTATTAATCAGTTATCATTATGATCAATAAAAGATACTAACAAATCACAAATATTGTAATCTTCACTTGAAAATCTAAAACATAATGAACATTTAAACAAAAATTCATCCATGGAATTTCACTATAAGATGCATTTCTATCAATGTTTTCCTTCACAAAGTAGTAATATAGTCACCACAATAATGATACCACTTTATTTCACGTTTGAGCAGGATGTTGAAAAAGCCAGATACAATTCTTTAAGTATTATTCATTATGATGTAATCTCTTAATATTAAAAGGCAACCTACCGTTTCATAGGAATACCACTCAAGGCCAGCTTGGTACTCTCCTCTGATGACAGTAACTGTTTGAAAAATAAAACAAATTTGATTCAAAGCATTACTTATATTCTAATACATAAATTATTCTTCTATTGCATCACATCAACAATTGTACTAGTACATGCACTATTCATATTTTTAAAATTTTAAATAATGTACTTCCTAAGGGGCCTTAGTGTAATGAAGGGGCACGAAAAGACGCATCTGGGAAGCAAAAGGCATAATAATAAGTGATGTTTGCTTCTAATTAGAAGTTCTTTTATAACATATGTGAATGTAAGTTAAGGTAACATTTTGAGTCTATGTATCTGAGCTGGACATCTTAATGATGTTGGTTTACCTCTCTGTGATAAAATTTAGATTTTCAACAATTATGCATTTTATGCTCCGGACGCGTCTTTTTTGGTCACTACACATTACTAAGCCATCTAAGCAGAAATGGTTCATTTAATAGTCGATTCTTTCATTTGATGTGTAAACACATCAATTACAAAATTTAATCGGTTGGAAAACATAACTAATTTCACAAAAGGTAACCTAAATTATATCAGTTGGAGAAGGTTGAACTTTTAAACCGCAATCCCTTTTTGTAAATTAGAATGATTAAATATCAATATTTTCATGTATATATCATTTATACATAAACCAATCTTATTCGAATTATTTTCACAGCTTATCCTTTCCCAAATAAAATTTGTTCATGATTGAACCAGAGGTACTTACGGCAGAGCTAAATTTAGTTTTGACTAGACCCGGCGCTACGCAGTTAACTCTTATGTTCATATCTGAAAGCTGTGGAGTGAGTGCCTTAGTTAGACCCAAGAGGGCGGTCTTACTGACGGAGTATGGTCCCAATAACTGTGAAAGGAGAGAACGTAATTATATCCAGTTACAAGATAAAGACAAAAGACAAAAATATATATTGTCAAGCTATGGAGGGAATTTCATTGTCGACTATTTGCGTCGTGATAAATTACAACCAGACAAAAGCGACTGCATCTCCAATATGTGTTTGCTTGAATTGTAATTTTTGTTTCCTTCTGTGGTGATACCTACTTGCCCAAATTTCACACTTCAAGTGGTTCTTGATATGTTGCGATAATGAGGCTCAATCCTGTACATTCAGAAATTGGCCTCTATGACCTTTGACCTAATACCGGTACTCCAAAATATAATCACATTGTCTTCCTGTGGTGATACATACTTTCCTTTAGAATTTACATAACTGTTCTTTCCTCTTTTCAGGAGAAAAACACAACTACTCTTCACGCCTTTTATAATAATAATTAATACTAAGAGTATAACCAACAATAGGCTTTATATTTATTGTGGTAAAGATTATATTATATTTGTTGTTTGCATTCATCTCTACTTACCTCAAAGGGCATATATCCTGCTATTGATGAGACAACAACAATAGATCCTCCTCTGAAATAGAAAATAAAAAATGTCACAAAAACACAAAGGCAGTTAAGCTGGGGTCAATGATAATATTTTCCAAAGCTGTGTACTGGAGGTAGTAGGAGTCAATGAGTTTAATCATAAGATATGGAGCAACATTCAAAGTCCATGTATTCATAGCTGACCTACAATCAGTCCTGGGGGTGTTTCATAAAGATGTGCGCAAAGTTACGAATGACTTTACAATTGACTTGAATATGAAGAGCTAAATGGGATTCTCAAATCCCTTTAATTGCATATAAGCTAAAGTTGAAATATGCAGATGTAGATTAACTTTAATGCAAAGTGTATTTTTGGCTACAATTTAATTGAGATTATGGGAAATAACGTCACACTTTGTTAAAATGTCAGGAAAAACTTTGGGCATCCCATTTGGCTCTACATATTGAAATCATTTGTAAAGTCATTCATAACTTTACGTACAGCTTTATTTAACACCCCTGCTAACACAAAACAATATTTGCATTGTTCTTTGAGTATAGCTATACATCCCAGCTCCTTATATTTCACCTACAAATATGAATTTTATATTTATTTGCTCAATCAATTTGCATAAATATGCTGGTTACAAATTCTCAAAAGTGTTGTTTGTTTGATTCTTTGTCTTTTGTTTGTTAGTGAGGAGGGGGGGTTACTTTTTCAAACTTTAAAAACCTTAATTTCAGTAGGTACAACCTCACAAAAATTGAATCTTGAAACATACTTGTCTTGCATTTATGTAATTCTTCTTTTAAAGTTGGTGCTCCAAGATATATGCTCTGGCAACGAATAAAGGGTTAGGGGTGCAATATGGTTTTATATGCATCTTATGGTTCGCATAATTCCTCAGTCACACCAAAGAACCGACTCCACACCGACCAACTTTTGGCCATTCGTAGTAATGTAATCGTTTTTTCCGTCTGGTGTCGGTCTGGTGTGGCTGAGGTATAGGAGTTTGGGTCAGGTATTGAGTTAGTAGTTTGGTTGATGCTAGGATATATTATTGACTGGGAAGCAATCATCACCAAAGCATGAGCCGAGCGACCTTCGAACTCACCCTCTTGAGACCATGTGCGGCACACTTTCCTTTACAAGTAGGAATGTTGACTTGACGTTGATATCAAATATCTAGCAGGAAGGAAACAAGATGAATATACCAGTGAATACACAAGCTACTTAATCTTCAATCTGGGTCTGACATATTCTTAACAGTGTTCCAGGGCTATTCTTAAATGCCTGTTGTATATTGGTCAGTCGTACTGTATTTCCATTATATATGTAACATCTCACCGTCTCATTTCTCTATAGCATATCTCAGAAAGTGTCCATAGGCTTTCACCACAAGCATCCTAATCCAATTCCAAGGTATACACATGATTCCAAGTAATGGGGAATCAAATAATTGTATCACATATCCTCAATTTTTGATATTATTTTCATATATTTTGTGAACCGCTTGACTTTCTCATCTTAGTCAGCACATCAGAATAGTATAATATTCCACTTAATAATTCTGACCTGATAATACAGTGATTGTAAATGAAAAAAATAATAGTCTTACCTTGTCCCAGGCTTGTTCATCACACTGGGGAAAAGAAAAGAAAAATAAGGAGAAACATTTCATCATTTTCATTACTATGTGCAGAAATATACTAAAAGCAATGGAAATACAACGAGTAGGAAAAAAAAAACCTATTGCACAATTAGCTCTTCACGTTAGATCTCACATCTTGTCATACAAATGTTCCATAAAGATCAATGTTTGCATTTCTCTAGACGCTTTTGTCTTTATATCACAATTACTTCCCACATTCTTGAACTTATTCAAGACCTACAGGCTACAACTGAACCATAGTCTTTTATTTGAAAATAATTCTGCAAAGGGTTTGTTCAAATCCCCAAATGCTATCCCTTTCGTTTGGTATTGTTTGGATTCCACCTGAGTGCAGAGTGGCAATACAGTCAAACCTGCTTTAGCGACCACCGTTATAGAAAGATCACTATAAAGACCACATTCTCAATTTCCCTTGAATATGGTAATAAAGGAACCTGTACATAAAGACCACTTTTCATGTTTCCCTAAACGGTCTTTATACACAGGTTTCACTTGAAATGGATCCAATATTCTTCCAAGACATTACCACTGAGATCTGTAATACATACTAAGTCAAAAACACAGATAACAACAAAATTAACAAACTTACATCTAATATATTACCGAAGTGAGGATTTGCTGCAGCATTAGATACCAAGATATCTAATCCACCATTCTCTTTGACAGCCTGAAATAAGGAAAGAAAAACAAATACTTGTAAATGATTCATGAAGGAGAACATTGGTCTACACTACTATGTCCTATGGCAGTTATTCAATCCAATTTGACATATTTCTACTCTTTATATTCTTTGACAACTGCCCCCTCTCCCCAAATCAATAGATATATATACTTGCAATTCAGGCTGAAAATTATCTTCTGGGTCTTCTGTTTTACCACAAGTAGATTTGGGAACTGGAAATTATTTGAGGTATTCAGAAAAGGTCTATCTGCTTAGAAATCTTCTTAGATGTATAAACAAAGAATCAACCAGCTCTTAGATAAAAGACAGATTTACAAATAACAATAATAATCATAATACTAATGATAACAGCAATAATAACCGAAAAATTGGTATATAGCACTTAGTTATTACTAATGTTTCCAAGAACTGCTATTATTATCCCGGCATTAGTCAAGCTAACCTGATAAGGCGCTCTTGCATTTGAGGAATTTCTTCTTACTGGATACCCATTTAATTCACCTGGGTCGAGAGTGCAAATTTAGAATTAATGTCTTGCAAAAGGGCATTAGTTGATTTAGTTTCATGGTGGGAATTGAACCACAAACCATGTGATCCACAGTCCGGTGACGTATCCACTAGACCAAGACACCTCTACCTCATTATTATCTCACCGTCTCTATGAGTTTCGCCCTATCGGCTTGCTTGCCCACGTGGCACACAAGCCCACTGACGCTGAGGTTGGCCTCCTTCAAGGTCTTCAGTGCATGGTCTACATGGGCTTGCTTACGACTGCTGATCACAACGTGTGCACCCTCTTCACCTAGTCTCTTAGCGATGGCATAGCCGATACTACATGGGAAGAGATATTTGGAATGTGAAGTAAGATGAGACGAAACAAAGAAACAATGACAATGAATTGTGTGCCAATGTGGAGGCGGCCGCATACAGGAAAAAAAAGTTATTAATTTAAATAAAAGTGTATGTAAAAAAAGTGTAACAGATACAAAATTACAATGATTTAACATTTTTTAAATCTACTACATAAATCAAAGACATTTTTATCTAGACGCTTCATCAAATCAAATAAAAATATTTGGTATCACTGTATTACTGTGTAAGCCAAGATATGAGAGCAATTTCCTTTTGAAAATTGAAGCAAAACAAATTATTGAGGTGAACAAATTGATTGTGTAGATATTTTATTAATGTACTTTTACCCCTGTTACCTACTTGCCTTGCATGTAATTTAGCTCCATTTGTTGAGCAAATTTTCAGTTTGACTTTGAAATCAAATCATATTTCTAAAATTTTAATTTTAATTTGATTAAAGCTCATTAGACTCTAGGAATTTCCTAATAATAAATTACTGAGTCAGTATAATACAGATTAACTTGAATAAAAGACAACTAATACTGTTTTCACACTGGCAAAATTTTGCTTAACCCCGTACTATAGGTGGGGTTAAAGGGAGACTTAGCCCTACCTATAGTCCGGGGTTAAGCTTATTCCACTTTCTTTTCACACTGGCAAAATGTTGCTTAACCCCGTACTATAGGTGGGGTTAAAGGGGGGGTTTTAGCCCTACCTATAGTCCGGGGTTAAGCTTTTTCCACTTCCTTTTCACACTGGCAAAAATTTGCTTAACCCCGTACTATAGGTGGGGTTAAAGGGGGGTCTTAGCCCTACCTATAGTACGGGGTTAAGCCTATTCCACTTTCTGTTCAGACTCGTTTTTACCAAAGTGGGCTAACCCCACCTATAGTACGGGGTTAACTAACCCTGCAAAATAGCAGGGCTAACCTCGCAATTGTGGTGCTAACTCCTGCTAACTCCGCAATTGCGGTGCCAAGCAAATGAATGAGAACAGAAACGAAAAATAGTCCGGGACTACGCAGTGAAGCGAATTAATGAATTCCATGGCCATGGCTAGTACGGGGCTAAGGAATTGCAGTGTGAAAAGCCAACAAAAATAGTCCGGGGTTAAAGATAGTACGGGGCTTAGCAAAGTACGGGGTTAAGCAAAACCAGTGTGAAAAGAGTATAAGTGTTAATAATTTAATGAATCTCTCAAACTGTATGCCACACATTATCTACAAAAAGTTGAAAATATATGTACAATGCAATGTCCACAGAATCCCACCCCCATATTCGCTGCTATGCGCGCCCTCCCATGCAGTCGGCATTGGTATTCATATTCATTGAATGTAAACAAACTTCTGTGTACATAGTCATTGACTAGAAATATTAACTTGCCCTTCTGTAGAAGCCGTTACTACTGCCACTTTTCCTTCCAAACGTCTCGAACCCGTCGCAGCTGCACTTGCCATTCTAAAATGGTTGATAGATCTACCTACAGACAGCAATCTTGTAAGGGAAAACATTCTGTGCACATGTAAGCTGTAGTGTAAATTAGCGGGTAGATAACTCATCAAAATGATCGAAGTCGAGTGAGTTCAGTCTGCTCGTAAAAAAACCGGACCTCGATCTTTCCAACTAGTCTTGGGAAAAGACCCGGCCCGACGTCCGTGAAATGGTGCTGATTAGATGAACCATCATGACAAAAGCATTTTGGATGACAGATAGACCGCCACATCCCTCAACAATACAAACCCTCAGGTGTAGATTAATCAAAAGGGTGGGGAATACCTCATGCATTAGAAAACATTATTTCTCATTATTAGATCTCATGATCATGATTACCACAAAAAAAAACTCAGTTCGGCTATACTATAGGGGCAACCCCGGAATTATCCCATTTGATCCAATTTGACTGTGAAACCAATCAACATTTCGTTAATGTGCTTTAAAATAAAGAATATTTTGGCCTCGATGACAAGTCATGTAAAGGGATTGACAACTTTAAATACTTGACGTTTTAGGCCTACAAAGCGGGAGTCGTTATAGAAGGGGACGGGAAGCCCCTCCCCCCCCCCCCCCCCCCCCCCCCCCCCCCCCCCCCTCTTTTTCCTCACGACTGCTCAGTCACTAAGCTTCATTGTGTGCCGCCTCCCTTGGTATTGATAACAAATTCCCGGAAAAAATATTTAAAAATATTTAAACAAATCTCCCCCCCCCCCCATGCACCCCCTCCATGAAAGTGCATGTGCATTCCCTATAAATCTCGACCATGGGATATGGAATAAAGGAGTGTTGTATATAGGAACAAAAGAAAACACGTACACATCTTGAAATGCTTGTTTTGTCGGAAAACGAAAACCCTTGATGATATTGAGTAGGCCTATAGTTATAAACGATATTGCCCCCCACCATGTCTCTGCACATCCCTCCAGTATCTCTCTCAGCTCCATGCTCAGCTCTACTAGCCTCTCTTCCATCCCTCCCTAAACACACACACACACCCCCCTCTCTCTCTCTCTTCTCTCTCTCTCTCTCTCTCTCTCTCTCTCTCTCTCTCTCTCTTTCTCTATTCCACCTTTTTCCTCTCAGCCTTTTCATAATTTCTGACCTTTGTATTATTCTCTTGTATGAAAATCAATTTCCTCACGCTACAATACTTTCCAACTATGAATGTACTTGATCCATGGCAATTATAAATAATGGTAATTCAAATTTCCCATTAAAGGGTTGTGATTGTTGTATTGAATTATTTATGGCAGATCGAGAGGTCAGAGAGAGCGAGAGAGGGGGTAAGAGAGAGGGAGAAAGAGAGGGAGAGAGAGTTAGAGAGAGAGAAGAAGGGGGATAGAGAGGGGGAAATATAAAGAGAGAGATGGGGACAGAAATAATCAAAAGCTACGTTTGAAATATTTTTCCAAGAACTAGGCCTACATGGTAAAAAGTACAATTTGTTTGCTTCACAAAAATAATTAAAACCGACAATTAAATGTATCATAGACCTCCTCAAACCATGAAGACTGAAATGCTTGATTGAATACAACTCATAATTTATTGAATATAAATTGTATAGCGTAGTGGTTAGCGCAATGCCACCGAAATGAAAGATTCCAGCTCCTGCTATTATTATCCCAAAAAATGTATTGACCTGGATACAATAATTTATACACAAATACCACTCCATATTGAGAAGAAGAAAAGGAGAGAGGGAGAGAGAGAGAGAGAGAGAGAGAGAGAGAGAGAGAGAGAGAGAGAAACCGCAGGCCCCTTGAACCAGGGTTGAACAATGCTAAATTCATACTTGACCTGATGGTTTCATAAGTAATGTAGGTCCATGGTTAAAGTAATTATCACTGTTCAATAACGTAGGCCAATCCAAGAGAGGGGAGAAATGCCACCCCTCCCCCTTCTTCAGACACGAACAACAACTTATTTTCAAAGACGCGTTTGTATATGCTTTATAAAACTTTATATAAGTTATACCAAATTATAGGCATATTTATTCTCGAAATGTGCATTGTTCTCTTTCGGAAAGCCCATCGAAAAGGGAACGAATCCACTTCCGGCTCCAGGTTGGTTACCGTCTGCAGGGAATGTGTCCTTTGGCGCCAAAGTCGCTTCATCAGATATCACGTGACGGTGATGATTGGGTGTGGTATTAATCCGCAGGTTGATGTTCAAATCATTGAGAGGAGCTAACTGGTCACTCCTCTTGCTCATGGTTGCTGCGGTTTGCAGACGAATCCCTTCTGAATGATGATGATGTGACTGATGTCGATGACGACGACGACGACGATGCACCTTTCCTTTACCGAAATGTCCATGTTTGAGCTGGTATGAGTAGATTCCATCATCAAGTGGATGCTTAAGACCATGCCTGAGATTGCGTTTGAGAAGCACAAAAATGAAAAGGTTTTACAATGAAGATTGAAGAAAAAAAATATGACAGCATTATTCTTTGTATTTTTTTCTCTTATAAGCCTGTCTTCTTATTGAGTTTTAAAAATTGCTTTTCACGAATCGTTCTTCATGGATTAAAGAGAAGGTTGAGTTCTGGGAAGAGGTGAAAAATAATTTGTGAATATTACTCATTCTTATTATGCAAGTATGGAAGAACATCAGTTAAGACATGTTCCCTGAAAAGCATGGCTCTCCAAATGCCTTCATATTCTAAATATGCATGTAACAGCGTACAAATCGGGGGGCCAGCTTTTTACGCCACGTGTTCGTGTAGTCCCATATACATCTTTCTGTGCAAGTGTTTGTAATTTTACCAAGACTTGGCCAAATTTCTTATCATTTTGATGATTCCAGAACCTTGCAATACACACAAATTCTTATATGCTAGATGATCAACCTTTTCTGGTCGGTTCCACACCGTTTCTTTCACAATGCAATCGCATGACCAGAACTCAACTTCATCTTTAAGTATGGAAATTAGGATATGTGGAAAATAGAGGGTCGATTAGAGAATGAATGCGTTGGCGTAGCCAGGGGGCACTTTCACCCCCTTCCCCCAAAAGAAAATTGGAGCCCCCCCCCCCCCCGGTTCCCCCTCGAAAAATAATGAAAGATTGTACAAAATATATAATCATGGCAATTTAATGCTTTCATAACAAAGTATGAGCTGTGGTTTCATTACGATGTCAAGTTTCAATACTTCAAATTGCAACTTTTCTTCTATAAAATGTTCGCTACGCTTCCACACAGAAATTACATGTATATATAAGCGTATATGAAACATCCCATCCCACATACAGATTTTTTTTTCCTGATGCCCCCACCCCTTTACAAAAATACAATGACCCCTTGTGTCTTCCTTTGAAAAAAATCCTAGAACTAGGGTCAAATACCAGCGGCAGCACTTTGCAAAGACGTATTATATTGGCGTACTTTAGTCAATTTGTCAAAGCCAATCTCTCTTTGTAAAAATTGGGTCCGCGAGGATGCCGTAAAGCACATAGGCGCCGGAAGTGGGGGGGCAGGGGGGGGCAGTTGCCCCCCCAGTCAAAAAAGTGGGGGGGCAAAACGCATTTTTGCCCCCCCTAAACGCCCCCCCCCCCCTTAAAAAAAACAAAAAAACAGTAAAGGAGTAAACATGGTTTGTATTTTTAATCAAAAAGAACGTAACAATAATAAAAACCTGAATTAAATCACATATACAATTCCATTCAAAGAAAAAGGAAAGTTAACAGGAATTAAATTTCATAAACATTGCGCATGCCACCTATACGGGATTTATCAATGGAGGTCTCTATATAATAGCGATACGCGCATATCGTGGACATATTGTGCGAGAATGGGAAAGCGTGTCCGTTTTTTTGTTATAAAAGATGAGAAGACATGAGCCCCTGAACGCTGGCGTACTGATGGGGGGGGGGGGGGGGTGATGTATTTTTTATTCGAAACAAGTGATTTGCAAATGTTGATGTTGTGACATGATTTTCCGGGAATTTTTCTCCATTTTTTTTGTAATTCATACCTTTTTATGCGTTTGTTGGAAAAAAAGAAATTCCCAAATTACAGTCAGGCGAAATACGCTTATTTAGAAGCCTTTAGGTCTTGGTCTGCAAAGTGGCTGGGCTCGAGCCCCCCTCCCCCCCCTCCTTTTTGAAAAAGTATGTTAAAGAGAAAAAGAAAGAAAGACGAAGAAAAAAATAAGTGACCTGCCAATGTCACAAATAAGGTATAAAATATGCTCATCTGACCGCAATTAAATGCTTAAAACCCCAGAGCTTACAGGGGCTCCGCCCCCGAACCCCACCAAGGGCCCTAAGGCGGGCCCCTGGATGCTCGACTGACCGTAATTAAATACCTAAAACCACTGCGCTCCCGGGGGCTCTGCCCCCAGGACCCCACCAAGGGCCCTAAGGCGGGCCCCTGGATGCTCATCTGACCGTAAATAAATACCTAAAACCCCCAAGATTCCAGGGGCTCTGCCCCTGGACCCCAACAAGGGCTCTAAGGCGGGCCCCTGAATGCTCATCTGACCGTATTTAAATACCTAAAACCCCTGCGCTTCCGGGGGCTCTGCCCCCTGGACCCCACCAAGGGCCCTAAGGCGGGTCCCTGGATGCTCATCTGACCGTAATTAAATGCCTAAAACCCCTGCGCTTCCGGGGGCTCTGCCCCCTGGACCCCAACAAGGGCTCTAAGGCGGGCCCCTGGATGCTCATCTGACCGTATTTAAATACCTAAAACCCCTGCGCTTCCGGGGGCTGTGCCCCCTGGACCCCACCAAGGGCCCTAAGGCGGGTCCCTTGATGCTCATCTGACCGTAATTAAATGCCTAAAACCCCTGCGCTTCCGGGGGCTCTGCCCCCTGGACCCCACCAAGGGCCCTAAGGCGGGCCCCTGGATGCTCATATGACCGTTATTAAATACCTAAAACCCCTGAGCTTCCGGGGGCTCTGCCCCCTGGACCACACCAAGGGCACTAAGACGGCCCCTGGATGCTCATATGACCGTAATTAAATACCTAAAACCCCTGAGCTTCCGGGGGCTCTGCCCCCTGGACCACACCAAGGGCACTAAGACGGCCCCTGGATGCTCATCTGACCGTAATTAAATACCTAAAACCCCTGAGCTTCCGGGGGCTCTCCCCCCCCCCTTGGAACACGTCAATTGCCTTACAGAGGGCCCCTGGATGATCATCTAACCGTAATTAAATAGCTAAAAAGCCTAAGCTTCCGGGGGCTCAGCCCGTTGATCCCCTGCCGAGGCTCATGCTCTGGACCCCACGCCAATTTACCCTCTACCTGATCGATAATACTCCACTTTGAAAAACGTTCCGCGGGACCTGCATGTAACGTGTAAGACTGGTGGTGATGCAGATTTTTCGTCTGCCCCCCCCCCCTTCCGAACTTTATTTTTCTCATTACGTCACTGCCCCTGGAATGTGAGCCCCCTGGAATGTTTGCCCCCCCAATCCCAAACTGCTTCCGGCGCGCCTGGTAAAGCATTATGGTTAGACTCCAAGAGAGACTTCCAGTGGCGTACCTGGGGTACTCCGTCAGGGGGGGGGGGGGGCAAGCGACCGAAACAAACAAAAAAGGCGATGCTAATTTTCACTTCTGGCGAGCGAGCGAGCAAGAAAAAATCTTTAAGTAACGTTTGGTATATAAACTGGTATTGTTGCAAGTTGGGGGTGGGAACATTCACTTGTTAGCGACGTTAATTTTATTTTTTTGCAAACGAGCGTAGCGAGCAAGAAAAAAATCACTTCTTTTTTAATAATTGCCACTTAACTCTCTTAATTTCTAGGACTTATTTTAAAGTCCAAAGAATTTATTCTAAATCCAAGTCCCCTTGGATTTAAAATAAGTCCTAGAAATTAAGTGAGTAAACTTGGTTCAATTGTCCCATGCAGGGCGCGGGAACAATATTGTGTTTAGGCTAATTTTATACCCATTTTAGCTAGCGAGCGAAAATACATCTTTCTCTCAATGAATTGCTATATAAAATTTGTTTCATTGTTGCAGGTCGGGGGCGGGCACAATCGTGTTTAAGGCAATGTCAATCCCATTTTGGCGGGCAGGCAACCCCCTACATTTCTCTTTTTAATGATATTGTAGCAGGTTAGTGGTGGGCACATAATTCCACGAGCTAGCGAGCGTAGCGAGCGAGCGAAAAAAATCACTTCTCTTTTATAGGGAAAATATGGTACATAAAACTTGGGTTCATTGTTCCATGTCAGGGACGTGATTATTAAAAGCGGTGTTATTTCTATTTTGGCGAGCGAGCGTAGCGAGCGAGCAAATTTTTTGTAATGATAGTTGGTTCATAAATTTCAGATTTTTTTGTTGCAGGGCAGGGCTTACACAATCATGTCTAAGGTGATGTTAATTCCGTTTTGGCGAGCACGAGCACACCAAAACTTCTTTGAATAACGTTTGGTACATAATTATTAACTGGTTGTTGCAGGTTGGGGCGGGCAAGTTAGCGGTGTCAATTCCATTTTGGCGAGCGAGCATAGCGAGCAAGCAAAAAAAAATTCTCTTTTAATAGAAATTAATAAATAAACTTGTTTTAATTGGTGCAGGTCAGGATGGACGCAATCGCGTTCAACGCGATTCAATTCCTTTTTGGCGAGAGGGCGAAAAAACTCTTCCATTTTTTATTATATTGTTGCAGGTCAAGGGTGGGCACAATTATTGTTTCCAAAGCAATGTCTATTCATTTTATTCGCGAGCGAGTGTAGCGAGCGGGAAAATGATATAGTCTCTTTTAGTAACATTTGGTACATACATTGTGTGTTATTGTTGCCATGGTTGCAGGTCGGGGCCCATCGGGGCAGGCACAATTGTATTCTAGGCAATGCTAATCCTTTTCTTTTTTCAGGGGGACGAGCAAGTGAAAAAATTTAATACAAAATAGGCTAGCAAGCAGTTCGCGCCAGCGAAGAGTTTCGAATTTGTTATATCACTTATATTTTCCTATTTTCATTTGTCTTAATTTTTCAGGGCCGTATGCGGAATATTTTTCTGGTGGGGGAGGGGGAAAGATGCGTTAAAACTAGTCATGAGGGTACTTTTGCATTTTCAAAAGTAGAATTGAAGGATTTGGTATAGGCCTACACTACATTTTCAGGAAAAAAACTGTACGTTTTCAAAATATCTGGGGTCAACTGCCCCCCCCCCCCCTGGTACGTACGGCCATGGTCTTTTTTTTAATTTCCCCATATTTTTCCTTTCCTTTTCTTTTCCCTTTTTCTTCCTTTTCTCTTCTTCTTCCTTTTTTCTTTCCTTTTCCTTTTTTTCCTTTTTTCTCTTTCTTTCCTGTTTTTCTTCCCTTTTCCTTTTTTCTTTTTCTTTCCTTTCCTTTCTTTTCTTTTCTTTCCCCTTTTTCTTTTTTTCCCCTGGGGCCCGTCAGGGGGGCACTCTGCCCCCCTGCCCCCCCCCATAGGTACGCCAGTGGAGACTTCTGTTACATGTATGACATTTATGCATTTATTCATTTGATGTAGTTAGTAAATCAAGAATTGTGATCATTTTTTTTGCAAACACAGGCCTAAAATAGAAAACATGATGGCACATTACTAATAATTATTAATATAATATATTTGACGTTCAATCTTTACTCACTTAAACATCGGCCCTTGATCACCGGGCATGACTTTCTCTGTTCCATCCGAAACGGAGATACTTGGCGTCATCGGCACCAACATGACGTCATAATCACACTTGGGGCACCTCCTGGATATGTCAGCGCACGAACATAACGATGGAGACGCAATCGATGACGATATGGATGGCACGGATGGGGTAGGAGGGGGCTGAAACTTTTGTTTGTTCATTATGACATAGACGCCGAGGAGGAAGATGATGAAGCTCTCGATCACGACGACGGTGATGGTGACGTAGAGGATGACGGCGATATGATTGGACGTGAGGTCGTCTTCAGGATGACTTTGAACACTTTCAGAGTCTGCATAGAGAAAAGGGGTTTCAAATATATAATGTTGGTAATCGGGAATTTGACCCCCGACAGACCTCTCCAAAGTCACATTAGGACACTATTTTTTTTCAAATTCAAAATTCAAATTCAAGTTGACTCAGTAAAAAAGTAAAATAAAAATAAATAAAAACTTACCAGTTCTATTGGAAGCCTCTGCGTTATCAAAGAACAGAAACAAAATGAATGCATGAAGAATGGAAACACATTTCATCTGACATAAGCCAGCCAGGTACATTACACAGCCCATCTTAATTCCAAATTTGAGGACTAAAAAAAATAATTAGTTGAAAGCAAAACTGTCTACTAAAAACAAAATTCAGATTTTTGTGTCACTCTTGTTAATAATCGAAATAATAGGAATTTGTTAGTGTAGCTTCTAGATGACGTGTCGTTAGCTCGTAAAGTCGTATAAAATAATGAGAGCAAATTTCATATTGCTAGTTCTTTATACCTTCCTCCTGAAGTATAACCCTTAGAATTATGGGCATGGCTTATTTTTGTAAATTGGAAAACACAAAGCGCTTTGGATGCCCATTCAGCGTGCCTGGATTTTACAAAACCACCCCTTCCCGCTACCTCATAATATATCTCTCTCTCTCTCTCTCTCTCTCTCTCTCTCTCTCTCTCTCTCTCTTATATTAATTTATAATCTACTATGTCATAGTAAGTTATTTAGTTTAAATTTGGCAAATAGAAGTTTGATTTCTGCCAAAGCAAAGGTAAGAAAATGATCTGTTATATTTCTTATTCTTAATGTCAGTTTGAACAGTTAGGAAAGAGATTGTTTTTTCCAAAATTAATGTCCATATAACAGTAAAGTTTAAACCAAACTTTCATGTCACATCCCACTTTTGTGTGATTTATATGACACTGTGCTGCAAGATTTAGTCAATAATTTCTTCCATTCCCAAACCCCACAGTTAAATATGTTTTACATCATGTATGTACTAAATGCATAATCAACATCTCCCATGCGCCTCAGGCAGTTTCTTTCACAATGCAATCGCTTGACCAGTTCTCAACTTTATCTTTAAATCGAGCCTTTTTTCTTTCTTTCTAATCTTCCTTTCTATACATTGCCATGACCGGTCATTATTGCTGATCTAATAAAGTCAAACATAATTAATATTCAGGTTTATCAATCCTTGTGCCCTTGCTTAATGGACAATAGTCATTGGGAACAATAGAGATTTTCTGGAGCTGTTGCTGAAATGACCGATAACAACGGTTCAGTCGTTATGTTGATCAAACTGCCTTGACTGGGATTTGAGTGGACGGGGTGGTGGAGGCAAGGGCGTAGCCAGGATTGTTTAAAGGGTGGTGTTTAAGACAGTGACGGATCCATGCGGGGGGGGGGGGGTAAAGAGCACTATTTTTCTCCTTCCTATTCGTGGTGTTTAAGACAGTGCCGGTGAATAAGCGGGGGGGGGGGTGGGGGGGGGGCGCGAACACTCTTTTCCCCCCTCAACACCCCCCCCCCCCTTGAGCAAAAAAAAAAAAAACTTTTCTTCTTTTGCCAGGAGGGGGGGGGGGGGGGGAGAGACCATGGATAACACGTAGATAAAGATATACTTCTAAAACACCCCCTCGATACGCCCTTTGGTTGAGGTACAACCGCCCCTTTCCACATTTCAAAAAAATCCAACGTGACATAGGGCTTAGTAACTGAAGTGCAAAAAAGAAAAAGGCGTCCACTTATTGTTTCACTGTGCCCCCTTCAGATTTGGGACCAAGATACACTATGTTTTTGCTTGCTTTCATTGTCAGAATTATTTTTGGAATGTGCCCCCCCCCCCCCCCCGTTTTTAAATATAATTCATTTTGGATTTTTCGAAAAATGTAGAGATTTTCTTGTTTTTTTTTCTTTCTAGTGACTGATTTGCAATTTGGCAATGGGCATGGTGAAAAGGGCATTTGGTGGGGGAAATGAATGTACATAGCCCAACTTGACATAGCCCCATCTCATATAATTATGTACATTTAAAAACGCATGCAGAACATGATCTAAATCCAAAGATCAGTATTTAAAAATAGGGAAAGGCTTGTAATGAAACATCAGCACAATTTACAGACAGAGCTAGGAATCTGGACCACCCCCTCCCCTCCTCGATAGACAAATCATTATTTATGGTTTTTGTGTAAAAAAACACGGTTGGCACCCTTTCTGATTATGTTGTATTGTTGTTTTGGCTGTTTAATTTAAACAATTCAGTCTGTTTAAACCCCCCCCCCCACCTTTTATTTTGTTTCGTACAGATTTTTGTTTTTCTTTCTCTGCTAGTTTTTTTAATGACCGCCCCCTCCCCTTTTGAATCCGCCGCTGGATTAAAAAAAACTAAAGAAAACTTTCTGTCCTGCAAATAATGTGTATTTGTGACATTTATCATTTAGTGCCAGATAATAAGCAAATCAGCAGTTAAACTTGAAAAAGCCTAATATGCGCTTTGCATTAGGGATTATTGCCAGTCTGTCAGGTTTCCATTTTATTTATTTATTTATTTATTTATTTCTAATATTTTGACAGGGTAGCCCATTCACCAACAAGTAGTGGTCTTCCATGGGGCCCTGAATGAACATATTTACATCGTTTATAACATTTATACAGAACAGTTACAAAAATAATACTCGTTTGCAAAATAAATATAATCATTAACCTAGTAAACAGTAATGTCAATAGGAAAATATTAATTAAGTCGCAATTATGTGAATAAGTCATGTAAATATTACAGAACATGCACGTAGTGTATGTACGGCTGAGCCATTCACAAATTACAACTTTGTTTAAACAATCTCTTAAATGAATTGACAGAGGAAGCCGTTCTCAATGAATTATCTAGCTTATTCCATTCAAATATGGAAGAAACAATTGGGCTACACTTATAACAATCAGTGTGAAATCTAGGCACACGTAAACATCCACTGTCTATTTGCCTTGTATGATGCTCATGTACATCATTAGGATTGATTAAGCCTACCTGAAGGTAAGAAGGTGCTAAGTTATGAACGCATTTATATATCATCATAACGCGACTTAACTCAAACCGCTTGTCTAGTGTCATCCATTTAAGACTTGTGAACAAATCAGCCGACGGTGTGTCATATGTCTTGTTCAATATTATTCTTGCGGCCCTCTTTTGAATTTTTTGCAGCTTAGTTGTATGAGAATGAAATCGGTTCGACCATACAACAGAGCAGTAATCTAATCGTGGCAACACTAGACTGTTATAAAGTAACTTTAAGGATTTTTGAGGCAAAAAACTTTTTGCTCTCTTTATCATGCTAATGTTTTTCTGGGTAAGTTTACTTACGTTTTCGATTTGTTTAGACCATTTCAATTCTTCATCTATCAAAAGTCCTAAGCATTTGGTGAATTGAACTCTTTTGATCAAAATATTGCCGTTTAATGAAATGGTAAAAGATTCAATTTTCTTGAGATTAGCAGGAGAGCCTATTAACATGACACAAGTTTTTTCAGTGTTAAGAACAAGACGATTTTCCTTAATCCATGCCATGACTCTGTTTAACGCAACAGTTAATTTTTCTTCCACAACAGTTGCATCATTTGCACTGACGGTAAGTGTCGTATCGTCAGCATACATATCTATGATACCTTCAGGAGTACATTCAGGTAGACTATTAACATATATTGAAAATAAAAGGGGACCAAGAATTGAACCTTGTGGCACACCTAATTTGATGGTTGATGGATGCGACTTGGCTCCTTTGAATTGGGTCACTTGTTGTCGATCCCCTAAATATGATTTGAACCAATAATTATAGTCCTATTACTACAACCTATACAAGCTAGTTTATGTAGAAGTAGCTCATGGTCAACAGTATCAAAAGCCTTACGAAGATCTATGAAGGCAACTCCAGAAATTTTTTTGTTATCAATATTCAACGACCATTGATTTACAAGTTTTGCAAGGGCAGTAGCTGTTGAATGTTTAGGTCTAAATCCAGACTGATTAGGGTGTAATAATTGATTCACGTCCAAGAATTCACTGAGTTGTTGGTGGACGGCCCTTTCTATGATTTTACTCACGATAGGTAATATTGAAATGGGGCGGTAATTATTCAAAGAAGAAATATCTCCAGATTTGAATATTGGTACTACCCGAGCCTTTTTCCATTCACGTGGAACAACTCCTGTAGACAGGGATTTGTTAATGATATCACAAAGAGACTCTGCGATAACATTCTTCGTCATCTTTAAAAGTTTACAGCTGATGTGATCTTCACCAGTTGCTTTATCTATACTCAGATTATCAATCTGTTTCAATACAAAATCCTCAGTAATCAAATTCAAATTAAATTGCGAATGAGTTGGACCAATATTATTGTCCTCGTCTACTCTCAGTTGAGACTTATTCCTTCGCAGGTCCTTTGTAATCTTAGTAGCATTAGAAATGAAAAAGTCATTATAAGCTTCAGCAATATTTGCATTGTCTGACACATTAGCACCATCAACATTTATGCTATTGGGAGATATAGGTAATGACTTAGGCACCAGGGCCCGTATTCAATAAACTTCTTAAGCTTGAAATCTAAGTACTTTTTCTTAAATTTTGGCTAAGAAAAAATCTTAGCCAAAAATCGTATTCTATAACAGCAATGGGGACTTAAGAAATTTGCCTTAAGATTAAGAAGGATTCTTAGATTTTATCTAAGAAAAAGGACTTAAGTAGCATGTCGTATTCTAATACAATCGAGATATCTAAGATAAGTAAGAAATCTACCCTATATTTAAGCATACTACGAGGATGCTTAAATGGGGCTTTGGCACCGGCAGCTCAGTGATGCTGCAAGCAACCGCTTCGGGTTTCGATCAAATGGAATAAAAACAATGCATGCAGCGCGCGCAGCGCGAGCGCAGGTTATCAGTTGACCTATATAACAACGTAAGCTTCGCGTAATATACAGCGTCGACGGCGCAGCGCGTAGGAGCGCCATAGGCTCTTTGTACTTAGTAGTATGTTTGTTGTACACAACTAAACGAGTAGTAGCATAAGTATGCATAACACTAAATCATGACATGGCTGTCGTATATAAAGAAACCGTCTCTTACTTTATTAGTCTTTGGCGCTAAAGTATGGAAACAGGGAATAATGTGCAATCGGCATAATATTAGGTGAGACAAAATTTGTTATAGTATGAGTCTGATAAAGGTTACATTTAGCCATTTGATTAATTTTAGGCCATCATAACAGTAGACTCTAGACGATGTAAAACAATGAAAGGGTAGCTCCAAATCCAATGCTAGCTAGCGCTGGTCGGCCGGCTAGCGACGGCGCTCCCTTCATACTCACAGACCTGCGGCTGCGACATAATAAGTAAGCCCGGTTGGGCTCCTCGGAGTTGTTTGACAGAAAAGTATAAAAAGCCTACAGTGGATGTTAGATCTAGCCTAAGGTGGTCTTGACTAGACTGTTTTAGTGTCAGTTGGTCAATCCCGAAATAATTATGTGAGCATCGTTCCTCCCTTACGCTCTCCCATACATGTTAGTGTATAATTTTCGTGCGGTGCGATTTTTATTTTAACACGCAAATTACATAGGCAAATCGAGTTGCAATTAATTCGCTCGAGTCGACCACATCAACTTTCCCACATGACGTCATCGGGTCTAAGAATTTGTCTTATCTTTCGTCTTGGCTAAGACAAACTGCTTTACGTGTTTAGAATACGGCTAAGGCAACTTTCTTAACCTAGACAAATTCTTAGACATTTTCTTAGACTTAAGAAAAATGTCTTAGAAGTTTATTGAATACGGGCCCAGGTTTCTCAAACATCTCCACATTTGCTTACTATTGTTATGATTTTGCGAGATCTGGTCTGCATTATATTCTCTTTTTCTTTTCCTCATGAGATGAATAACTGTATTCTTTAGATATTTGTAGGTGTCCCAAAGATCATCACTTTTGTTAGCTTTAGCAGCTTTGAGAACTTTATCACGTTCCGTCATAAGCTTAACAATCTCGTCAGATATCCATGGACATGCCTTTTTTCTTATCCGCTTTTTACATACTGGTATGTGCTTGTTGATTATATTATTGAATAGAGTCAACCACATATCCCACGCAACATCAACATTATCTATATCTTTTATGACCTGCCAAGGAGTACTTCTCAATTCATTGTAAAATTTCTCCTCGTCAAGATTTTTAAACGAGCGAAATTCTGCGTACTCAGATTTGTTATGGATCTTTGCACTAAAATCGCGAACCGTATACACCAAATAATGATCACTTATGCTAGTTTCAAATATTCCCCATTCATTGTAAAGTTCCTTGTCTGATACAAATATCAAATCAATTAAAGTAGAAGAGGTATTTGTAACTCTCGTGGCAGTATCAATTAGCTGACTTAGCCCGTACATATTTGTATAAAACATTAACTTTTCAGCATTCAGATCAAGTTGGTGTGGCATACAATCACAATTGAAATCACCTAAAATAATTCCATTCCAGTGCATGACCCGAAAAAAAAAATTAAACAGCGTGCACACGGATATTTATACAGTAAAAATGTAAAAATAAGATATGAATTGGATATGGCTATCCGGGTATTGCTGTGAAAATAGGAAAATATTGTGGAGAGAACTATTCAAGCAGCAAGAATCCCCCGTATATCATTCTGAAGTTATGAAAAGGGGGTTTAATTTTACTTTACAACAAGTAATTTGAAACAGAGAGTTAATCTTGATGTTCAATTTTGCGGCTTTGCGCCAACTCTAAAATTGAGACTTCCCTAATTCTGTACGGTCTGTCAGGTGACAAAAAGTACATCTAATCACGTGACAAGTCCAGCGTTTGTTTTGGTTGTACAGTTGAGTTGTCGCGAAACCGCGACCGCGCCCTTTAATTTGATAAGTCGTCATTTTATTTAACTTTATTCTCGGAGAAGTCGTGGATATGATGAATTTCAGCAAAATGTCGTTCCTTTCAGTGATTGGAGTGCTTCTTGCCCTTGTAAAATATTCAGAAGGTAAGAATTTAGCGCCTATTATGTACGCTCAGTCCCATGCGCATGAATTGGTGTATGTTTCTCAGACTCTGGTCCGTTATGCATACGACAAAGTCTATGTTGGTGATCGAATTTCATGAGGTGTCTGGTATTGACATGAAGTTAGAGTTTATACTATATTCTATAGATCGACTGGTTTTTAGATTTATTATTTTTTTGTCCTGTCCTCTCAATCTCGTTAGATCTAGATCTGACAGAATCTTTCTTGAACAAATATATTAATTATAGACTTTATAGGCTCACATTTAAAGGATTTCATTAATAAATAGGTCTGGGGATGATGATTGCCAAGCGACAAGGTTTGTGAATTTTCTGTCTTCTGGAGTCGACTCAAATGTGATGAATAACATGATTTGTTTTCTCCTCCTTTCAGCTACATCAGAGATGTCGGCCATCGTCGCACTCAGCATCTTCATCACCATTCCTGCCCTCTTCCTTCTGACCTGCTGTACGGCTCTCATCTGCGTCTGCCACTACCGCAACAAGATCCCCATCTTCAAGTCCTTCGTCGGCAAGGCCAAGACAGGGGCTGGCATTCATGGCAAGAGCTACGGGTCCTCGGCACCGCCCCCCAACGCACCAGGCGCCCCCATGCCACCTCCAGCTGCCCCTGGAATCGCTGCCCCTGGAATCCCAAGTGCCCCTCCTTCAAACCCAGACCCCCCTCCTGGAGAAAAACCACCAGGGTCTTACGAGATGAAGGTGCCAGTGGAAATAGACGAAGTGGTGATACCGATCAAGAAAGAGTAGGGTTATAGATTTTACCGAACATAACATCGTCTGACAGTCAATGTCCTACATACAAGATCGCTGGCTTAGAAATGGGGATGATTTGAAAATCATTTTCAGGGCATTTTATTAAGTGGAATCAATTGTGTGCTGAGCTTGAGATTGTAATGTATGGCAGATATTATAAACCACCAAGAGTCCAAGACTTGATAAAACTTTCTTGCTGCATGTACTTAATTATGGGGCTGGGGGAGCAAATGCATTCCGACTACAAGGCTGTGAATTTTGGCTGATAAATTTGGCCTAGGTAGAAATGATATGATGGCAACTACACAATGTATGTACTTTCATAAAATTAACTTAAATGCAATCTCAATAGCCTTTGCGTCACCCATTGAAATGTGTGAACATCAAAATCCAAGCACTAACATGGCAAGACATATTTGCCACTCTCAACCACAGTGTAAATGGGTACCTGATATACCAGAGTGCTACAGATTTTACTGCAAGCTTTGACCTGGGTAATAATGCTCAAGCGCCATGGTGTGACGGACAAACATTTGCGCTCTATAAGAGGCCACGATTATTATTATCATTAATTTCACTAATTTAATACATTCTCACATAGACCATTTTTATTTTTCACCGTTTATGTTGATATATGATCAGCTATTGAGTTTTGTTTGATTTTGCAAGGCTTTGTTTTTCATCAGAAGTCAAGATTTTCTTTTACACATGGTAAAGTGGGCAATTATGATACGATAGATGACTAAATGTTATGCCGTGATGAAGAAATATCAACTGAAAATGGTAGTGAATGATCTTGAGGCACCAATCTATGAATGCCCTTTGAGGTCATGTGAAATTTAGTATGGTATTCTACAGTGTATACTGAGTTGACTGTTAATAACAAAGATCAAATATTAGAGATGCAAGATTTATGCACTATTTGACAATGCAATATCTTTGAGCAAGAGGATTCAAACACATGGAGTCATAACAAACGGGTTTGCTTTTGAAGTAGCTTTGATACCGCCACAACAAATACATACAAATATGCAGTCTCAGAAACATACTTCCAAATGGGGAAACAATCACATTCCTTTTTTATTGCATAACCATGTGATATGTATACATTTGGAGATATTTTGTCGTAATGATATTTATTTTTTTCAAAATATAACTTGGGAGAATATGCATGTGAATGGAAAAACAAACAGATGTAGTGCCCAAAATAAAAGAATTGTGATGACTATTTCTTGACTCCATACATGTGCCTATTACTTTGATTGGGTTTATTTCAGATAGCCTTCTTTTGTGATAGTAATGTATGCAATTTTAAAATCAAAATAATGGTGTTAAAGTTGCTGTTAAACAGGCATGTACACTTGTGACACTTTCAAGGCTATATCTCAAGAAATTGTTCATGTTGATTCATATTTATTTGTGTATGTATGTTTTTATATGAATATATCATTCAATTGTATTTTCTTTACGCTAGGTAATGTCAAATTGTTCAAGAGTTTTAGTGCTTTTGTATGCTGATTGTATTCAGCCAGAAGCATTTTAGAAAAGATAGAGAGGCTGAAAATGCTGAAGGTTTTTTTTTTACAAGCTACACCAACTTCCAAGTTTTAGTCTTTAATAATATAAAAGACATTGGAAAATAGTATCTTGCCCTTACAGCATTTCAAGTATATTTTCATACCACCTTTTTTACTGAGATGACAGATTACAGAAATAATCAACATGAAGAAAATGATAATCTGTCAACTTTTGACTTCTTGTTAAATTTTTTTTTTACTGTAATTCTTAACATTCTGAAACAATTCAATGAGATCTAAAAAATTGTTATGATATTTAACAAAGTCCCACGATGCTTGGAACAAAAAATGATGTAAATGTAATATCCAATGTTGATGCAAAATGGTCAGCATGACTACCGGTAGGTGAAGTTATAAATTTCACTGTAAATGTAAATGTTTGAAGACCATTTTTTTAGAGACTGTAAAATACATGTAGTTAGGATTTTCTATTTGAAGTTGAGACTGTGGTCTTCCAAAAAATGACATCGACAGTTTTCTAAACGGGACCAAAACAATTCTGATGCATCTGTCCTAGTACTACTAACCCAATCAAGTATTCTATGTTTTATTATATTCTAAATTAGCAATGTGTTTGAAATGTGTGAACACTCTATTTGCACGTACAATTTTGAAATTTATTGTTCTTATTCAATAATTTTATTTTGTATACATTTTTATGTTTGTAAACTATGAGGAAAATTTAGAAAATTCTGAAATGCTATGGTACATGTAAACCAAAGCCATTTTAGTTTACATTTTAAGGGCTAGTTGAGTTTTGATGCAGAGGGCGCTACACACAATTTTTTCGTCAGATAAAGAAAAACTGAGTGTCAAATTTGAAAGAATATACAATCTAAATGACAAAATCATCTTTGTCGGATCAAAATCAGTTCAGACTTCAGAGAGAGCTGAAATAAATATAACCATAAATAAAACCATTTCTAATATATGTGGTGCCGCACAAGTATTCAGTAATTTTGAACCAGCCGTTGAAAAACGCGCTTTTATACGTTTTATTCCAGCCAATGCCAAATATTGGCTTTTTTGTGTTGGTTATAATACGCACAACCAGCCGGCTAGTGTATCGTTATCTTTTTAATTTATTAATTAACGATGACCATATTTTGTTTGAAAGTGGAGCTGAATAGGTATGATCGTATTCAATCTAAATTCACACATTTTAGGGTCTAAAATTACCTTCATAGCCAATTTAGGTTCTAAAAGGGCACTAGAAATGTCATAAATAAGAATAAGAGCAATAACCATGTACTTTGAAGGCATTTGCGGTCTTAAACAAGAACTCAACTATCCCTTTAAGTGAATATGAACAAAAGAAATAATTTGTTCCTGCAGTTTACGACACATGTCAATGATGCTTAATGAGTACAAGAATGTGTATTTTTCAATAATGAATGTGTGTATCGTGGCTTTCAAGAATGTGTATAATATTGTATTTCATGGTATTCTAAATAAATGTACCTAGCTGTATGTTCTATTTTTTATCTTTGTAACATAATTACAGAATTAACAGTGTACCATCATGAAATGTCTTGTTATGGCAATTATTTTCATTAAATGTTTTAACACATTTACATGACTACATGTACCCCATAGCATAATCAACTTTTTTTGTATCAAAGGAATGAGGGAGATTCAATACGTGTTTGTTTTGACATGTAAGTGCATTGAAATTGAGGGAGATTTGATGGGAGATGAATTAGAGAGACAGATTATGTTAATCTAGGGGTATGATGTGGTGAGCAAATGTTTTTATTTTTTTAATTCTTATCCATGCATTACAAAAAAGGGTAACATGATATGAAAGGATTTGAAACCATCATTGCCAATCTTTGGATGTGGTTAAATTAATGCACCTTAAAATATGAATACAGGTACATGTGTAGATTGTTCAAATGTAGTTCAGTTGGCGAGACAAGTAATGTTCACAATGATGCACAATTGTTATTTTGCAATTTGAACATATTTGATAATTGATTCACTGCTATATTCATACCCCTGTTCCCTAAAGGTAATACAAAGTTTTGGTAAGGGGTCATGAATTTAGTTCAAATGAACACATTGGAAGCATATTTGGTCCTACAATATTCAATAATCGTTGTCGCGGTTGAAATCGAGTCTAAAGTTATGAAATTGTAAATAAAAAAACTCTTTATGTTGTATAGCTCCCTCTCAAGGTCAAGATATTAATAAAGCTATAAAACAATGTTTTTTTTACTAAAATCGACCGATCAGCTATTCCTGTTTGGAAATTATATATCACAACTACAACTACGGTATTTGAAATTCATCAAAATTTACCGGGAGCACCGGTAAATTTTTTTATTCAATTTTTCTTGAAAGCAGAAGTGTTTAAGGGTCTAAATTTTCTAGTGCTTCTAATACATCTACAGGGGCATCCAAAAATATAAATATTGTAAAGAATCACTTTCCACCCAATTTTCAAAATTTCCCAAAACTTTGTATTACCTTTAAGGAACAATTATCAATCATCTTAAGCATACATACCAAGTACGCTCACTCTTTCCGGCGAGGCTTGTCCTGTCTGCTATTTCAAATTCCCCATGAAGCCCACCATACTGTAACAAATCAGTGTTTTAGTATTGGACGAAGGTTAATGCAAGGGTCACTCTGTGGCCTGGACCCACCCTCCTCAGGTCATCACCTTTCTTCACCTGAGCCAATTATTTGTAACCTCAGGGTTTCACCATCACTTCATGTGCTTTACAAAAAACAAAGGCAAAGCATCACTCTTATCAGCAAATGTGTTAGTCCAGGCTTCACCCTTTGAATTATTTGCATAGGTGATGCTTCACTTTTGTCAGTTTTACATAGGTGAGGCTTCACTTGTGTCAGTTTTCCATAGGTGAGGCTTCACTTTTGTAAGTTTTCGGCCGGTCTGAAGCTTCACCACTGTTTCACCATACTGGCCATTTGCATAGTTCAAGCTTCACCACTGTTTCACCTAAGCCCGAGTCATTACGGTTTTTGTGCTAAACGGTTAACCGTTAAAAGTATACGGGCGGTTTCGTTTAACCGTTTAATAATAATCTGAAAAAGTGAAAATACAGTATTTTTAATAGTGCTGTAGCTCGGAACCCTGCTGGTTTTCAGACTGTCGGGCTGAGCATTCCCAGCCCCGGACTATGGCACAAATTGGGTCATCCTGATAAACAGAGACCAGTAATAAACAACATAAAACATGTCTTATTATTCCTCATCTGAATTTGATATCATGATTAACCTTGCAAAGTTACTCTGTGAAGATAGCTGATCTGTGACGTGTTTATATATGCCTTTGCAATGCAATGTTTGCACATGGTCAGGGAGAGAGCTCCCTGCATGTATCATTGCCATATGAAATTATGTGGAAGTGTGTATCACACACACCCAAGACACACCCTGCAATGAGCTGATCCAAGTTAGTGACCAATCAGGAAGGTTCTCTAGCTATGTGGGTGGAGTTTGATACCAGCATAAATTACAGGTTGGTGACCGCGCGTGCTTTCACCGTACCCAGTTCAGTGGGAGGTCAAGAAGCCACGCCCACATGTGTGCATGTGACAAGCATGAGCTCTCCATCTGTGTGTATGTACAGTGTATTTGGGCGCCGGAGGTTTGTGTGTACATGTGTGTGTGACTGAGAGAGCATGCATATGGGCTAGCATGTCCCTGCATGTCCCTAGCATGGACGAGGCAGGGACATGAGTGAAGATCGAAGTAAGAAAGGGTGGCTGTGTTAATCGGCTGAATTGAAGAATGATCAAAAACTTAAATTACTCACAAATAATATCCAAGACTTTGTTGATTGATATTTCTAAAACTTCAATTATTATTGTTATCAATATTTTTGTATTTTATTTATATATGAACATTATTTTAGGGGGCGAGTCGGCAAGGGATGGATATTAATATTGAAAGAGAGAGAGAGAGACTCGGGGGAGAAGGGATGTGAGAGGAACTGACCATCGAATGTGTAAACATTTAGAAAGTTGTGAGCTGAGAGTGCAGTAATAAGAAAAGGTACATGAGCGATGAACCCATTGCAGAGAGAAGGGAATAAAGAGGGTGAGAAAAGAGAGAAGGGGGCTGGTTGTTTTATTGTTTACAAATTCATTCATGGGGATAACTGCTGCCAGAAAGCTAGCGCGCAGCGGCCAGGGTGTAATATTACACTGCGGTTTCTTTGATTATCTTTATCATCGGCTATTAGCACATTCCAAAATGTATGCAAATAACGGTTAACCGGAGCGAGAAATGCTAAACGGTTTTGATGAATCATGCGAGTGCATGAGTGACCGGAATAAAAATTAAATAGTTGTTTTGAAACGCACGATTTCGACATGATTTCGACATATTTTCGACGCGACCGGTAGTGGCTTCGATGTCACATCACCTGAACAAACAAGGCGACCGATTGGATTCGATGTCACATCACCAGAAAAAACAAATTACTCGTCAAAGCTTCACACATTTCATCAATTTGTATAGTAAAGCTTCACCCAATGAAGAAAAACGAACGTTAGGACTTCACTACAACAACAAATAGGTCAGGGTCAGGCTTAGGCGTCGAGTCGACGTCGATATTTGGCGACCTCTGAGGAGGGTGGGTCCAGGCCACAGAGTGACCCTTGCATAAGCATTTTCTGTTGTACGAGCATGCGCTATAGCAATATGGTGCATCGTTGATTTAGCAATTACCAAACTGAAGGAAAATGAGCATAAATTACATATTTTGATCATGTTGGTGCAATTATCATGTTTCTTTTGGGGATATTACTTGTATAGTAGTGATCTAATCAGGAATAAGGGGTTATACTGAAGATTATATGTGAAGATTTTATGGGATTAGCAGAAATGTTGTGTGAAGTGTTGTTTTACTAACGAGGACATAATTGTTCTTTTACACGTTTATGTATAGGGAAATTGTTACGATGGTCAGGGTTGTGCATCTAGGGCTTTCCACTGCACTGTATCCGATAGTTGGCCTGTTAGTTGGCCTGATAGTTGGCCTGATAGTTGGCCTGATAGTTGGCCTGATAGTTGGCCTGATAGTTGGCCTGATAGTTGGCCTGATAGTTGGCCTGGCCTAAGTCTCTAAGCTAAGTCTCACATAGTTTGCACCG